GTAATTAATTTCCAACCGAATTGTGATCTATGGATAATTATTCATAACATTGCCGACTCTTAGAACCTGAGTTAACACGTTAGAAATCTAGTCAACGTGATGCAGATATTTGTTCGTGACGTGTGTGATAGCGTTGCCGGGCATTCATCTTTAAACAACTTTAACACGTTGGCCGCGATTGCTGATTTGGCCCGAATGCCGTACGGGCGATAGGTTCAAACTTGTATATCTTCAAGATTTATATTACGCATGGAAATTACTATGGAAAGAGATTGATGTCCAGGTTTTCATAATCTTGAATAAAATTGAGGGTATTTACATTGTTAGTTCAGTTATATTTACCTTATAGAGATCATTCATCATATATATTGTCTTGAGCTTCTGTTACAAGCAGCATCTCAGAGAAAGACTAAAATCAGGATGTATATCTCAAATTATCGAGTGGGACAGAGGACAACCCACTTCCATTGAACCAACTAGAACTAAAACCAATATGCGCTGCCATGAATGCTACAACATACTCTCAGCAAATGAGGCAAGTGCCGTAGCAAAGGTGAAACTCGAAGGATAAAAAAATACATTGGTGACTGTGAAGGAAAGTCATACATGTGCGATAATTGTTTTTCAATCAGGTATGAAATATAATGATGTTGGCAACACCCAATTTTGTAGTTTCAGATCACTAAGAAAATATTTCATTTTCTTTTCATACAAAGATAGATACATATATTGCTTTCATCAATGGACACAAATTTTGTAATTTTTGTATTACTTGCATTTGAAAATAAAACTATTTCTCTGAGCAGTAGTTGACTTCAAAGCATTCCCTAACATGCCTATTTAATTGCATCATTGAAATTTTAAATTTGAAAGAGTAATAAGATTTTAGAAAAATATGTATTTTTCATATGAATGTACCACATGTGTACACATCGCGATTCTGAGAAGTACAGCGTGTACATATATGGCGCACATCGCGGCCAACGTGTTAAGAGCACGGTGCAGGCTGGCGCACGGTGCACTTTTTTACCAGCATTTTACGGCGCACGGCGCAAATTGATGCAATGATAATAAAAATTCCCGCGCACCTGGCACATCTTCCTGACCATGGCGGCCGGGCCGGCCCGCCGGGCGGCGCCACCCAGTGAGATCATCGAAAAATGTGTGACAGTTGACCTTGCTCTACCAAATAGTAATAAACTGTTTGTGTAGAAAGAATATTATGGTTTGAGACTTTTAAATAAGTCTGTGAATATATTAGGAATCCTTTAAGTATACTTGTACCTATTTGCTGATTTCAAATCGTAAATAAATTAATAGATGATTAAGTTAAGAAACGGATTTTGACACATAAAAACTAATTCTGACACAACTTGAATTGGACACACACAGCTCGTTCCAAACTGCGTGCAAAAATTAAAATTTTCTTAATTAAAAGCTTGATAGCTGTTAATTAAAAGCTTAATTAGGTAGTGTTCAATATTCAATAGTGTTCTAATTCAAAGCCGTGTCGTATTCCAATACAGCTCACACAGCGATCGGAATTTGAACACAAGGATGTTGGAATTACGTATTAGTAGAGTTTGAAGCACGGCCGGAATTCGTCACACAACGTGCCGAATTTAGTCACACACCGCATCGGAATATAGGGATTTGGTAGGTTTGCATTCTAAAGGTTTTTAAATAAATATGGCAACAGTTTATGATGTTTCATTGTTGCTGGCACATAGTGCGGTGTTTTGAGAGTCATGTAAAGCAAACAGAACTCGAGTTATGAATTTTATAGTTTTGCCTTGAATTTTTATAGTTTTTCATTTCTCAATGCGTCCTTAATGTGTTGGAATATACCGCGTTTACCCTATAATCCGACACATTAAGGACGTAGCAAAAAATGAATTGCTATAAAAAATAACTGTATGCGCTACTTGAGTTCTGTTTGCTTTACGACACTCTCAAAACACCGCACTACACGCCAGCAATGATGAAACGTCACAAACTGTTGCCATATTTATTTAAAAGCCTTTGGAATGCAAACCTACCAAATCCCTATATTCCGACGCTGTCTGTGACTAAATTTGGCATGTTGTGAGACTAATTCCGGCCGCAATTCAAACTCTACTAATACATAATTCCGACATCCTTGTGCTTGAATTCCGATTGCTGTGTGAGCTGTATTGGAATATGACATGGCTTTGAAGTTTGAATTAGAACACTATTGAATATTGAACACTACTTAATTTAGTTAATTAGGCTTTTAATTAAGAGCTACTAAGCTTTTAATTAAGAAAATTTTAATTTTTGCACACAGCTCGGAACGAGCTGTGTGTGTCCAATTCAAGTTGTGTCGGAATTAGTTTTTATGTGTCTAAATCCGTTTCTTAATTTAATCATCTGTTAATTTATTTACCACTTGAAATCAGCAAATACAAGTATACTTAGAGGATTCCTAATATATTTACAGACTTATTTAAAAGTCTCAAACCATAATATTCTTTCTACACAAACAGTTGATCACTATTTGGTAGAGCAAGGTCAACTATCAACTTAACAACTTTGACACATTTTTTGATGATCTTACTGAGTTGCGTGCACTGTCTCTATTTGGATCTTAACATTTTCCCGCCAGACGGCCCAGACCTAGTGTTTTGGCAATAGTTTGGCGTGCAACAGTATGACGTCACTATTTCAACCATCAATGAATGCGTGGAACTAAGACAAAGCTTAAGGGGAGCGTCTCCCTAAAAATTTATCTCAGTAATTTACAGAGGGATCAATCTGAAATTTGGTACACATATAAAGACCACATATACAAAATGATGTATTGGTTTTTTGAATTTCTCATTTTTGTGAGTGTGGGAGCATTTTGTCCGAAATTGTTTGAAATTTTCGATTTTACCTCCACTTTCCCCCCCTTTTTGCAACATAAAATCCGAACTATAACGAACTTAGAAAAACCAATACCGTAAAATGGGGTAACTTAGACCGGCGGGGTAACTTAGACCACTTTTTGTTTTTTTAACAAAAACCCCCACAACTCAAAAACTATTTGACATAGAAAAATTTTGTCAATGGGCATTAAAGGCCTAATACTGAGGCTACATAACACAATAGAAAAATTTGAAAAGTTTGCATATCTAATAGGTTAAAAAATTAAAAATGTGACCCACAAAAAAAAAGCTATTATTTAAAGCCTGTCAGAGTACCCCCTATAATTTTTTTACTTTTTGGTTAAATAACTCCAGGTTTTGATGCATTGTAGTAGAACTCTTCTAGTTACATATGCAAATGACAAATTTTAGGAAAGTGTCATTGTTTGCAAATGGGGGGCACTGCCCCCAAATGGGGTAACTTAGACCACCTAATGTCAGCCCTGACGGGGTAACATAGACCAGCTTGGAAGTTAATATAAAATTACCATATATAACATATTTTATGTTTGACAGCCTATTTATGTTTTTTCTTTATGTTTCAGACTCTACAGTCTTATATATGGTAATTTTAACTTAATTTCCAAGCCAGTCAATATTACCCAGTCAGGGCTGCCATTAGGTAGTCACATTTCCCTCATTATGGGGCAGCGCCCCCCATTTGCAAACTATGACACTTTCCTCAAGTTTGTCATTTGCATATGTAACTAGAAGAGTTTTACTACAATGCACCAAAACCTGGAGTTGTTTGGAGTTATTTTACCAAAAAATATAATAGATTTTACCACCCGGTCTAAGTTACCCCAAGAGCTGGGGTAACAAAGACCACCACTTTTTTTGAAATTACATAAAGACTATGAGAGGCAGGAGCCAGCAATTTATGGTGAGTGAAGCTAGAGTATAGACCTGTATTTTGCATGTTTCAATTCAAGTTTAATTTAGCTAGTAAAAAAATGGCATCATTTATAAAAATAAAAGTGGTCTAAGTTACCCCATTTTACGGTACATCATTTTGTAGATCTTTCATTTGCAAATCGAACGGTATATGTCTCATTGACGTAGCTTCAAAACTCTAGGAGGAGATAGGTTTGCAAGTCAGAAAAATGTTGTTTTTCAGGAGAGCTGAAAAACTGAAAATTTTTATGAAAATTAAAAAAACTGCATTCTAAATAAATCTATATTACAAAAACGCATATATCATTCTCTAGATCTTTTTCTTGCGCATCCAATGGTATAAGTTTCATTGCTGTAGCTTGAAAACTATGGGAAGAAATTGTACTTCGAAAAAAGGAAAGAAAAAAATATAATATATTAAATAACAAAATGTATTGAAATTTATCCAGTGCCTGGCTCTGGATCCCCGGCTTGGTATTTAATTAGCATTAAATACGTCCTCGCCTATTACTCAAATGAAATCGAGGGTATCATCGTGGCCAACGACTCGTTGTTGTCCAGTCGGCACTGAATGATAATAAATAAAAGAAAAAAATTATAAGAATAAGAAAAAAAATGGAGAGAAGGAAATTGAGAAAAAAAGAGAAGAATTATTGGAAGAAAATGGGGTCGATGTGAACAACTTACCCCATAATCAAGAAAAGAGAAGAATTATTGGAAGAAAATGGGGTCGATATGAACAACTTACCCCATAATCAAGAAAAGAGAAGAATGAAGAAGAAAGGAATTTAGAAATTCCCTGCGCCGTACCCAGTGCTGGGAGTGGCCGCGCGCGTCTTCCTTGGTTTGCGGCTTGGAGTCGTCACTTCAGCAGCCTTTACCTTCAACATGTTTAGGTGGTCAGGCGTTGGCAATCCAAGAGCTACAAGAAGGTTTCCTTTCTCGTATCCAATGTTGTGGTCCAAGACCGTGCCACGNACGTAGAGAGACAAGTTTAGTCTCGTTAGAAGCGTAATTTTTTAAGCTTTAAAATGAGTGTAAAAACCCAAAAAGTGAAAATTTTCGATTTTTCGGGAGACGCTCCCCTTAATATAAAGGAAAACTAGAGAAGTGTTGTAATTACCCATGGTGTCGGAATATACCGCATTTACCCTACTCAAGAAAATATTTTTGATTTTTCTGTCTTCTAATTTATTTTTATGTCTTGATTAATTGAGCTATTCCTGCAAAGTTTTATTCACTGAGTCATTCTTGCAAAGTTTTTTACTCTCTTATGACAATTTTAATCATTATTTAGCATCAATTAAAATGCAGAAAAAGGCAGTGGGGTATTGTGATCTTAATATTCTTTCTGATAGCAAAGATCTCAAAAAAACAGTACTAGAAGCGTTACGATTGGGCTTTCAAACCATAGCTATCAATACTGTTGTTCATACTGAACCAAGTTATGAAGAATCAAAATCCAACAAAAAGAAAGGTTAGTTCTTGATATGCAGCTGTATTGTTACCTTTTTTTTTACATAGAAATAAATATTCTCAGAAGGAACTAAACCAGATTCATTTCAAGAGTCTGCATGACTGGTATGAGCACTAAGATTTGCTGCACTTAATGTAATCACTTAGCTAATTGTGTGTAACTCCAAACTTACATGCAATGAGCATTTAAATTTTTTCTGCTCGAGTCATTTATTTGCTATTGCTGTTAAGTGATTAAATGGCCAAAAGCCATTAACACTTATACATGAAATTAATCATTGATGCTAATTAAATTTTGTGATGGAATGAGTGTAGGCCTGATCAGAAATTTCACTGTCCTGACAGCCATTCAAGATTTTCATCTCTGTGCTGTAGGTACTAAACTTTGTCACAAAATCTTGAGTTTTGGAGGAAAATCTATACTTTCCTACAGCATTTGTTAATTTTCCTAAAATTTACTTGATCCTTTCCATCTACTACAAAACTTATAAGTTGCTGCATGTGGGGTGCATATTACACAGGTGCTTAGCAACAGGTTACTAAGATTGATACAATGAATAAAAATGTTTAATGAACAAATAATGAATACAGCAATCCCTTGATTAACGCGGTTAATAAATCCCCGAGTTTTACCGTGTTAAGCAAAACTGCGCTAATCAAACTTAAGAATATATGGGAATAATTATAATGAATCCTCAAAAATAGCAAAGGAAAGGAAAATTATGTAGTTTGTTAAAAGTGAGCAGTAGATATGGCAGCGATCTTGACCAGCTGAAGACTAACGAGTAACTAGCCCTTTACGCACTGAATTGTTTCGAAAGTGAAAAAACAATCTGAATTACTTTTCAGATCATGCGCAGTCTTTGTGTTGTACTGGCAGTAGCGGCGCGCCTACTCCATCGAACGTCGTTTGAACGAGTTCAAACATGTGACGCTACCGTCACACTCGCGGCTAGACTCCAAACATGTAATTACTCTCGGTAGAAGCTTTTATTTTCTGTGTGACGAATTCGTCACACCAGGGCTTAATTAAAGGGCTAGAGCACCGGCATGACGCACTTACCGGCGAACGTTGCCGAACTCGATCATTCGAGTTATGAACGAGACAAGGCGTGGTTAAACCGACTCTGTAGTCAGCACGAGTGTCTACGGAACGGGACCTTATTTAAAGAATTATTGGCTGAAATTCATAAAGTAACAACATTTGGCAAATTTTTCCAAAAGTCGTAACAAAAGTAACAACATAAGATCAAATAAGCAAAAAGTAACACTTTTGTTACGAACGTAACACCTCTGGCTAGAGGCTGTAAAATGATGCGTTGTGAAAAAAAAGTCGCGCTAATCAAAACTGGCACCGCGTAGATTAAGGGTAGGTCGCAAATTTTTTTTCCGCGTTAATCAAAACCGCGGTATTCAAAACCGTGCTAATCAAGGGATTGCTGTAAACCAATTTTAAAAGAATAATGATTGCAGTGGAAATGCATCTAACTTGCAATGGATGCATTGTGAGTGTTTTTCTTTCTTAACACTCTGACTGTGACTACCGAAAAAGCCCGTATTCCTTTGATGCGACTCTTTCACATTTGAATAACTTTGGTTACAGACAAGACAGCAAGATGGGAGTTAATGCACCACTCTTGCCTAAATGAGCTTTACAAGATTCTAACATAAAAACCGTGAGCCTTTACGAGTACATGTTGCTTGGAACAATAACTTTTGTCTTTCTAGGTATTGTGCAATATATGAGGTACACAGCATTCATTATAAAGCTCCAGTAAAAAGTATGTATTACACAAGCATTGAAGTTTGAAATAACCTAGTTTGTAATGTTAAATAACATAGTTCAAAATCAAAATGTTACTGTGATATTCAAGCTACAAAGCTTCTAGAGTAGAATAGAACGAGTACGGGTAGGTTATAAATCATATCAAATGATGCCTTACAATACTGCACCAAGATGAGGCATAAAAAGATAAAGAAAACTTTTTAAGTTGTTAACAACAACTAATACAAGGGCTTTCTACAACCAATTCTAAAGTCAATAAAAATCAGTGGGTATGAATGAATTTGTTCAACACAACTAAATGTATTGCCTCTCATAATAATAAAAACATGCAAATAAATGCTACCAAGATCAAACCGCACCGATAGACGAGTTCTGCATTTCGGCTGTATATTACTTTGAAGATGATGATGATAGGGTGAACTTCATGACAAGCTACTGATGTGGGTGCTACTTTGAAATTATTGCAAATTGCAAGTTTAAACTGAAAAAAAGACAAAAAGCCAGAAATATTATCTATCTATTTGGGGAATCCATTAATCATCCGTACACTGGGAATCCATTTCAATGCGTATCTTGCTTTCATAACAGCATTCACCATTAGTTAGCCCACTTCTGGATGCCTAGTACAGTGCTTGCTACCTTGGGACTTGAGCAAAATCCTTTCTGAGGTGGTGGTCGAGCACTGACTTGTTCAAACACGAAACCAATTTTCCCATAAGAAATAATTGAAAGTATACTTATCCATTCATACTATTAAGAAAGGTATATATATATACCTAAAATATGATAAGAATGTGTATGAAAACAACAATGAAGACGTCAATGTATGCAAGTAGTACATGATAGAGATGAATGAAGCATTATAAACCATTTTGTATAATTTTTATAAAATAATTGTTTTGGAGAGGTAACATTTAAAAGTTTAAATCTGGGAAGAAATGCTCAAACTACATATGTGATATGTCTTACGCCGCTGGCAGGCTGAGTTTAACTGATGCCTGCGCACTGGCCGAGAAGGACCTAGGAGCATGTTTGTGTTGAGTACCAAAAATCTGTACAAGGCCCGATGCATTTTCTACCTAATTTTTTGGTCAAGAACCGATTTGGTTGAGTAAAGAGGTGGTCGAGTACTGAGGTACCACTGCATTTATTTTCCCTCTTTGATACTACATGCACGAGCCGAAAAAATATTTTTCATCATTTGAATAGGATAACATCTTTTATTTCATACTTCCTTTTTTACCCACTCATTATTTCGTGCTTGATTCTAATCAATTATTCTTCTAATCCAATTGTCCAACATTTTTATATGTTTTTAAGGACCTTTTTGACAATATTCTATCAAATATTTTACAAATTTATTATGAGCTAAACTTGATCAGCAGGACATTTTCAAAAAAGTAATTTTTTAAAAACGTGTACCACATCTGAAGCACTCCGTAGTTTGGGATATGCATGCATGTGCCATATATGGCGTACATTGCATTCAAAGTGTTGAAGGCTATAAAATTAAACTAAATATTTAGCAGAATTTCCTAACTAGTCATTTTCTACCTAAAAATTGCCCAATTACTTCAAGCACTTCAGCAACAGGTTTTGTAGGTAAAAAGACAGGGAAATAATATTCTGCAGTGTGTCTCATTTCATAGCCTTTCCCTGCTCATGAGGTCTCATAAAGTTCATGACTCTGATGCAGTCATGCTTGTGATTTACTGTACCTACAAATGGCTACAGTATAATAGCTGCATATTGTCAATTAGCAATTGGTAGCTTTCTCGTTTTCAAATCATTTAGATTTCACATTATATGCACCATTTATTTTAATAATTCTAAGGAATATATCACAAAAAAACTGACATTTTTAACCCCCTGTATTTTTTATAACCATCAGATTCTGGAAACAAGGGTGACCAGTGCATTATTCCAGCACCAACTCGTGTATCTCTTTCTCCTGATGACTTGAAGCAATATGGCATTGCAGAAGAGCCTGTTCTGCTGTCAAGGCTCACACTTGTATACAAAGACACAACTCGACCTTTTCTTCATAAAGCTAAAGCTGCTATAGAAGAATATGATGTAGTTGCCTTCACCCCACTCTCTGAAGAGGCTTTCAAACAGGTCAGTTCTATCCACATGCACATCTTGAACATATTTCTGATGGTTGGTTGCCCTATCTAACTTTTTGTTTTTTGACAAAATTCTATTTTATATTAATTCAATATTAGTTGTGAATCGCATTGTGTCTGAAAAGTCTGGCTGTTTATTTACTCAGAAATAAAATGCTTCAAACTTACGACAGTCTTTCATTTGATAATCTACCACTAACTGAATAGAATGCAGAGGTTTGAAATTGCAATTCCGAGCAGAAGTGTGAAATTACTATTTCAATTTATTCTTCTGTGAAATTAAGAATGCATCATTAAATTAGGTATTGGTTGCTTGAACATTCATTTGAGAATGATATGTGATGATCTTTTGAGGTATTTTGTTTGTCAATTTTCTATTCAATGTATGTTGATTAAACTTCATACAAATTTTCTTGACTTATAGTCATTGGTTTTCTGCAGCTTGTTTTCTTGCTATTATCATGTAAGGTCATGTCAGTTATTAAAAAATGAATGCAAGTTCAGTTTAAATTAATTTTATGTAAAGATCAATTATTGTTCTTTATTAGACTGCAACCTAATTTGAGTCTGATGTTTTGAGTTATCATACTGAGAGAAAATAGTAATTCCATGATTGTTGTAAAAACCATATTTGAGGTGAACAAATAATAATTTGCTTGTGTATGCAGGTGTGCCAGAGTTTGATGTACGTGGACATCATCTGCCTTGACCCTGACAGTCAACTCTGCAGTTCAAAGCTGCCCAGAAACTTGTGCCGACTTGCTGTGGAGCGAGACATGTATTTTGAGGTTAAAATGGCCATTAATTAATTAAGCATCAACTCTGCAGAATTTGTTAATGCCTTAATTCATTTAATATGCTATATTGTGTTTGTGGAAAGCGGCTGGCTTCCACACTGGAAGTTCAGCATTCTTTATCATAATCAATTTATCTCAATCTGCTATTAACAATACCCTAAGAACCAGATGATTAACAGTGTATTTGATATTTCAATTCTAGTACTTGATATTTCTGTAAGGTAATAACAGTACATACATCTGCCTAACAAGAATTATCTTCAGTTTTTACGACATAAATCACGCTCATTTACATTTTCCCGCAAAACTTATTTTTTGTTACATTGCAGCTGCAATATGGACCGTGTATTGGGTCGCGCAACATATCGTCGTGGCAGAGCACAATACGTCTGGGCCACCTACTCTCTGACTACATCAACAGCCGCAATGTTATTGTTACCAGCGCCACCGCGTCACCAGAACCCATCAGATCGCCTGCTGATGTGATAGCCATGGCCAGGTTTTTTGGATTGAGTCTTGGTGCTGCTCACAGCTCGGTGTCTGCACTGTGCCATGACACAGTACATTGTGCATTACAGCGCCGGGCTGGTGCTAATAAGTGCAATGTACTCATTGATTTTGGAGATAACGTCTCCAAAGATAATGTGGCCAATCGCAAAAATGCTCCTAAACGGAAGGCTGGTGAAATGCTTTAGTTTATGTGTCGCTGCAGTCGGTGACTCCTGACTACACGAATCTTTCCAACTAGTAAAAATCTTCGAATTATCTGTTTTTCGCCAATGACCGCTTATATTCATCTCTAATCACACATTCTGTCTCCAGTTAGTTAAAAGTAAATACCGAGATCGTTAGATAGTATGGCTTTAACTCGTGGATGTTGAAAATTCTAAATAACTTCCCCTCACGTGGATCACAAACCTAATTGGAAATTCTTACTAAGCTTACAGCTCGGCTTTGTGATCACTGTTTTATTTCCCTCATAATCGTTCCCAAATTCGCCGTCGCGGGCGCAATCAATGGACGCTTTTACGCTTTTAAAGAATTGTTTCGCTCTACCTAAACTCCAGTACATCCTACGTGCGTCTCCTGCATATACGCGGGTAGGTGATTTGGAGCGGATCGATGAGGTGTTGGTTTCTGCCCTCTCGACCATCACCAATGTCAGCTTCGAGCGCGAATCTCTTGAACAAGCTGTGTTGCCGGTCCGGCTGGGAGGCCTGGGTAGGATTGTAAATAAATACCTAGATAAGTATGGAAAATTTCAGATCGTCATCTCATTTACGAGTGGAGTAAAGTTCACCCTAATTAGTGAAGAACTGCTTAGGAACCTGTCCGGGACCTCGCGGCTCTCAAGCACCACCTTAAGTACAAAAAGTTACGCGAACTTAGCGAAGTTTCGTTAATCTCTGCCCTGATGGCTTAACGGTTTTCCCGTTGTTCCTAGCTCCTGTCGACTCAGTGCGCAGAGCGCGTGGATGGAAGGAGGTTGTGTCGTGTCAGCGGCATCAGCGTAGACTGACTAGGGTGCATATGGAGAAATAAGTGTGACGTTATCCAAATAGCAATGCACTTGTTGTGATCATTCATCAAAATTTCTTGCGATCAGGGCAAAAAAATTGCACTATTCCCATTCAAAACTAGAAAACTTTTTAGAGAGACCTAGAATTTAGAAAATTTTATGAGTTTTGAGTTGTGACTGTCAGAGAAAAAAAGAAATATGTGTACGGAGCTAAAAAAAATGGTTGGCTTGTCAACCTCCACATAATTTTGAATCAAAAAGGCATGAAGATATTTTGAATCAAAAGGCATAAAACTCTTGAACATGAATATCAACATTTGCTTGTAAATTGAAACACAAGAGAAAAACAAATTAGCTTCTGGTATAAACTCAATCGAATATTATTTCCTAAAAGCACTAGCACGATCCCATATTATACCTTAGTCTCATTATTGACAAAATTCTATTACAATTCAACTTGCTGCTAGTAAATTAATAGTCTCATCTTGCTTCATCACTCAAAATTTGTACGTAACTCCGCTTACGACACCTCCGAGCAGGCGTACAGTTATGCACAAATTTTTGTACGTAGCTTCCCGCGCAAATGTTTCGATAATAACACTCAGTAGAGTCACGTCTACTTAGCTGTACTTACGCTAAACGTTAGCGGCTACGTATACTTAGCATGTTTTGATAATCCGGCCCCTGGTCAGAATCGGCAAGGAGGCCGGGTGGTTAAGCGCAGCAGAATTGTAGCAGTGCGTTGCGAGTTCGAGACCTCAAAATGCTGTGAATGTTCTGCGATGTAAAGAATCGGCAACAGGCCTACGGCCTAATAAACTCTGAAACCGCTATTATATTATATCACATATCGCTCGGGCAGCTGCTCGCTACTGGCTCATTGAGGAATCGACATTGGATTGTTTGGAAAAATATTTGAGGATCGTCTAAAGCATGTAAGTGAACATAGGCTAGGAGATGTAGAAGCGGACTTCGTGAGGAGCAGGAGAGGTGTACGACGAGGCTGCATATTGACTTCGTTCCGGTTTATCCTCTACACAGAAAAGATGGCTGCTAGTTTTGAAAGAAAGGATGTTGCTGTGCACGTGGGCGTTGAAAGTTTCAAGTGCTTCTGTAAGCTAACGATGCTAAAATTCTGAGCAAAAAATAGTGAAGTAAGTAGTGTAACCGTGTAAGGTAGGGAAGAGCCATATACTTATAAATAGGTCAACTGACTATAAGCAGAGTGTGGCAGTTGAAGAGAGTACTAGTTTGATTACAAATGAGTAGGTACTTAGTAGTATGTGTAGAAGAAGCGAGATGTGAAAGAACTAAGACCATGAATGTAGGTGGAGTAAATCAGTCTTCAGTGGATGGGTATAGTTGGAAATACAGCAAACTTGAGAGCGGGTAGGTATGAAGTATAAAGGTGAGTGAGTGTCGCAGTTCAAAGTATTCTGCGAACACACTGTGATAGCATACAGTGATAGTGAGCTAGATAGACCGGAATTGATACAGAATGGATTGACGAGATTGGTACTAGGAGCTCTCAGGTGGACTGTAGTGGAGGTCTTGATAATGAAATGGAGTACCTACAGGGAGAGAATAATGACAAGAGTTTGGAGATACAGAGTAAGACTAGATCGATTTGACGGTGAAAAGTGGGCGTAAAAGAGAATCATTTGAATTATGAGGGTGAGAAAATAGCGACTTAGATTTCACGTACGAAAGTGTGATTTGCACGCGTCATGTGTAAGTAAGCCAAGGGACTAATGGGTACTGATCATAAAACTAGCTGTGACTGAATTCAATTACGACATAAAAATGATAAAATATTGTCCAAAAAGTGCTAAGAAATTTGTTCGAATTCCCTATTCCATATCTAAAAAAATTACACGCGCTTAGTAGGCTGTATCATTCATGCAGGAGTTCACCTAAAGCACATGGATTGATAACATAACAAAGCAATGTCGGCGCTGAAGAGTAGGCCTGATGAGGCCTGTCGCCGATTCTTGTACTATTCGTGACTTGTTCACAGATGATCCGAAGGCATGTCCTTTGAACGGAATTTTTCAAAATTGACGATAGTTTGAAATAGCTACTAGACTTCCACCGGGTTCGATATGGTGCTAAGGCTAGGCATTTCAAGTTTGAACATATATTTTTCCATAGTTTTATCTGGTCTGTTCTTGAACGCGTTTATACTTGGAGCGTCAACGATGTAATCACGGAGGCTGTTCCAAATGTTGGCAGTTCGAAGCGAAATGTGGTAGCGTGGAGAAGTTGCAATGCATTTTTTTAGTATATAGTCGTGGCTCCTGCTGTTGGTTCTTGTTTCAAATTTTAGTAATCCTTCTGGGACCTTTATGATTGTTACTAATTATTTTCGCTCATTAGTCATTAGAGTGAAGTTTTTAGTCATTATCAAATCCATGCGAGTTTTCATATTTTTTACTTTTGGTTACCTACATGATTTTGATCTTCAATAATTACTGACATGTTCGACATGGGGTTTACAAAGTAATGTATCAAACCAACTATTGAGCCACAATTTCTACTGGTACTGTTAAAGAATTGAATCTGAAGTGCTCATCAATGCAGATTTATGACCACATAACGATAGTGACTCAATCGACAATTTTACGGACCCGCCTGCGGACTCGCCTGCTGACTCGCACAACTGGGCCTCTCATAATTCCTTCAATACTTAACGGATCTGCATGAATTTTGGAATGTGAGTACTAATTATCGATACGCTGCCGCAGGAATTATTACAGATTTTTACATGAATTATTTTTTAATTAAAACCAATAAACGTATTTTTTAAGCAACTGGGCCGCTCATAATTCCTTCAATACTTAACGGATCTGCATGAATTTTGGAATATGAGTATTAATTATCGATACGCTGCCGCAGGAATTATTACAGATTTTTACATGACTTATTATTGGGTTAGGTTAGGTTAAGTTAGGTTAGGAAATAATTCATGCAAAAATCTGTAATAATTCCTGCGGCAGCGTATCGATAATTAATACTCACGTTCCAAAATTCATTCAGATCCGTTAAGTATTGAAGGAATTTTGAGCGGCCCAGTTGCTTAAAAAATACGTTCATTGGTTTTAATTGAAAAATAATTCATGTAAAAATCTGTAATAATTCCTGCGGCAGCGTATCGATAATTAATACTCAAATTCCAAAATTCATGCAGATCCATTAAGTATTGAAGGAATTATGAGCGGCTCAGTTGCGCGAGTCCGCTGGCGCGTCCGTAGAATTGTCGATCGAGTACGATAGTGTTTGAAAATTATTAGCTTGGGCAAGATTGGAAGAGTAGAATGACAACGATTGGAACAAGTGAATTTTGCACGATGCCACTAGCTCAATAATTAGAGTCGCTTACGACAAGCTTTCGTCTCGAATTGTCTCAAATAAATAAAAAATTAAAACGCGGATGAATATCGAAAGGGTTAGACTAGTGAGCAAAACCTCGGTCAATGTTAGCTTACGAATCTATTCTGCTATATTATGTTATTTATGCTGCTGTAATGGTTGAAAAAGTTCCAAACCCACAGAAGAAATCTCAATATCTAATCTTACCCACCATGCGTGTCATCAAGTTTTTGACTATTGGTTCCTACATGATTTTGATTTTCAATGATCACTGCGATTTTTGAAATGATTACTCAATCGACACATAGTCTGAAAATTTAGATTGTATGTGTATGAGAGAAAATATATAGTAACAATCATTCCATGTGATTTAGCTGAACTCCAGCATCAATAATACCGTCAATTACACGCGTGCGAAATTTTTAAGATATTGAATAGTGAATTTGAAATTTAATTCGATCGAAATTTTAATTAAAATCAAAGTGGAAGTACGAATAAGTAATATTTTAACACCTTTTGGACAATATTTTCAGTCGTAATTGAATTCACTCCTTCTGTTCCGTGGCAACAATGATGAATCACGTGACCCGGTGTTTCGCGCCATCTTCCTCGCTAGTTCGTCTTTGATTGCAGTTGGTGCAATAGAACGGACTCATCGCGCGGTAAGTTTATTTAATTTAGCTAATTATGTCTCGGCATTGGGAGTTCTACATCTGAATTCATTCCAGTGAATTCAATTATTATCATAGATTCACACCGAAATTTATTGATCTACTAGTTATTATAACGATGTTAGCTAGCTAAATACCGGAACTTCGATTGCCATGTGTTCCGAACGCCAACGTGCGAGTCGCGGGCCACAATTCTTTGTTTCGAATTCGAAGAAATTCTGAGAAATGTAGACCCCGTGCAACCTTGTAATTTCCTCTACATTCAATTTCTGAATAGTTTTATGTACGGTATCTCATTTTTCGTATAAACATTGATCATTGAAAATGGAAATTTCCAATGTGCATACGAAAAAATCAAGAATGCGTGCATGCATTGCACCTCATGATTTCAATAAGTATTCATTTTGAACAATACCTAGTCTGTTTTGAACAAGCTATAGAAAAAGTTTTCAGTGCACAAATTTTGGCTTCTATTTGTACAAAATTTTGAGATGTCTCTTCAAGGTTGCTATAAAATAATAAATGTCGGAAAACGAGATTTCCTGTTGAAGGAAATGTACCTACCGTCTATGACAAGTTGTTTCATTACTTTAATCTTAGTCTTAAGTGAGCTCTAGTGTCTAGGTAGTTTAGTATCTATTTCACTTGATTTGACTTGCAATGTTAAGTCCAAGACTGGTATTATTGCAGATTAACTACATCCAAAAAAAAGGGTGTTTTTTTTAATTATATGTTTTTTGGGGTGTATATTACGAATCTGAAATCCATTTTTGGCGGTCGGCATCGGAAAACCGATTTTTTTCGCGACTTACTAACATGGGGGTTACACTACGTGTGATCGGTATTATTGCAAAAAATCGGTTTTCCGATGCCGACCGCCAAAAATGGATTTCAGATTCGTAATCTACACCCCAAAAAACATATAATTAAAAAAAAAACACCCTTTTTTTTGGATGTAGTTAATCTGCAATAATACCATCTACACCCCAAAAAACATATAATTAAAAAAAAAACACCCTTTTTTTTGGATGTAGTTAATCTGCAATACAGCAATAATACCCCAAGACTTCCTAAAAGAATCAGCCTTGCTGAGTTAGGCCTATATTTATTAGAATTATAGTCCTTAGCCTATTCACATATATTCAAGATCAATGTAGCATGGTAATGGTAACCTGCTGAGCTCCTTAATATCAGCTGAGCTCTGATGCATTGATGGGTACCTAATTCAAGTCGAGGTTCTTCATTTCAGTACAATTAGTTTATGTAGCTATAGCCTATATATATAACCCCTCCTGAATTCCAAATTAATTTTTTTTGCTAGAAAGCACAAACTTTTCAATGGATGAAGACATGAAGTAGCTAATAGTGTTAGGAACAAATTCTAAATCAGTCATACATGCATATTGCAAATTTCTGTAAAATTTTGTGTGGCCTAACAATTGTTTTTGTTGATTTATCAGGAACTGGAAAATGTTCATTAAGTGGATTATATGAAACCTTGAGTCTGTCTTGTAGGAATACTGGCTAGAAAAAGATTAGCTTTATGATATTGTTGTTTAACCCTTTAACAACATTTTTTTAATGGCACTGTGTAGTTGGTGGCAGAGAGCAGAGTTGCACCACCAAAATAAAGCAGGAATGCGTATCAAGCACATTCAAAACAACTAGCGCCAATTCTTTATCATGAAAATAATATTACAGAGCATGTTTGTTTGAGAGGCGACTGTATGGTGCATTTGGGCATTGGAGGGTTAATGATCCAAATGACTTTTTTTATGTTAGTGATGTACCGTAAAATAGGGTAACTTAGACCACTTTTTTTTTATAAATGCCATTTTTTACTAGCTAAATTAAACTTGAATTGAAACTTGCAAAATACAGGTCTATACTCTAGCTTCAGCTGCTTTACTCACCATAAATTGCTGGCTCCTGCCTCTCATAATCTTTATGTAATTTCAAAAAAAGTGATGGTCTTTGTTATCCCAACTCTTGGGGTAACTTAGACCGGGTGGTAAAATCGATTATATTTTTTGGTAAAATAACTCCAAATAACTTCAGGTTTTGGTGCATTGTAGTAGAACTCTTCTAGTTACATATGCAAATGACAAACTTGAGGAAAGTGTCATAGTTTGCAAATGGGGGGCACCGCCCCATAATCCACTATGCAGAGCGTGGATGCAGCGTCGGCAATATATGGATTTTTAAGCCCAAAGCGTTGCCGGCCATTTTAAAGATGCGTCGCCGGGTAATTTTTAATGAAAAGCCATTTACGCTGAGTAATGAAAACGTACCGGAAACCTTACTTTTTTTCTAAATAGTTGGCTGAAGACTGAGAAATATATTAAATGCAAGAATTTCAATCTAAATGTGTCGGCAAGATCTTCTGAAGGCGAAAATTTTGCCGATAATGCGTTGCCGTAGGTCTTTAAATCTTCGTTCACTCTCTGCACAGTGGCCCATAATGAGGGAAATGTGACTACCTAATGGCAGCCCTGATGGGGTAATATTGACTGGCTTGGAAATTAAGTTAAAATTACCATATATAAGACTCTTTAGAGTCTGAAACATAGAGAAAAAACATTAATAGGCTGTCAAACATAAAATATGTTATATATGGTAATTTTATATTAACTTCCAAGCCGGTCTATGTTACCCCATCAGGGCTGACATTAGGTGGTCTAAGTTACCCCATTTGGGGGCAGCAACCCCCATTTACAAACTAGGACACTTTCTAAAAATTTGTCATTTGCATATGTAACTAGAACAGTTCTACTACAATGCATCAAAACCTGGAGTTATTTAACCAAAAAATAAAACAATTGGAGGGGGTACTCTGACAGGCTTTAAATAATAGCTTTTTTTGTGGGTCACAATTTTAATTTTTCAACCTATTAGATTTGCAAACTTTTTAAATCTTTCTACTGTGTTATGCAGCCTCAGTATTTGGCCTTTAATGCCCATTGCCAAAATTTTTCTATGTCAATTAGGTTTTGAGTTGTGGGGGTTTTTGTTAAAAAAACGAAAAGTGGTCTAAGTTACCCCGCCGGTCTAAGTTACCCATTTTACGGTAATTATTAGATTTTAAGTAAGCTGAAAATTTCAAGTAGCTTCTTAATGACTTGAATGAATTTTAATCCATAAATTTTATTACTATTTCAATTATCAAGGTGATAAGGTAAGGAGTCCAAGATAAAAAGTAACATTGGGGATGGTCCACATATTAATTTTGACCATGGTAATATTGTCCAAGGTGTTGAGCACTGAGACTGAGCAGTATTTGCTTGTTAACCTTTTTGTGAGCAAGCAATGAAATTTGCAGAAAATCATGTTTCTAAAACCAGTACAAGAAAGTATTAATTACTCTCATAAAGTAGAACTTTGCATTAATCTGTATTACTCTGAGTTGAGTACTCAGAAGCAATTTGCTGTCATGCATTTTTTAAAATTTTTCATATCAAAGCAAATTACAACTGAAGAACCTATTACTGACAGCCACAATGCTAAAAAATTAGCTATAATTTATTTTTCAAAATATGAACTTACTGAACTACCTTTCTTAAATGCTATTCAAGTTTATCTAGTTACTTAAATTAAATTATTTGTAAAAGAAATTGCTAGCATCTTGTTCAAAATTGTCAAAAAGGTATTAATTCATTTTCCATGTCAAAATCTTGATTAACATGTTTGAATTCTTATTCATGGTTTTGGGGGCGATTCTTTGTATGGAACTGTGAGAAGATTAATGGTAATTGGCAAAAAAAGGTATCATAGCCTCAAATTGAAACCTGGGCAGCAATGGGCTTTTTTGTTGGCAGGATTGTAGACATTTATCTTGCAATTTTTTGGGCAATTGGAGTTCATTTTAATTGTGATTGAACTCATTGAAGTATCTGGAGTATAAATAGCTGCTTGAAAATTTTGTTTCAATCATCTTACTTGGAAGTAGGACAAAAATTAATTATATCTTGAGCTGATTTCTTATTAATGGAATATGAAACTTGCCTTCTATGCCTAAAATTTGATGGAAAACATTTCAATTTACAGTTTCTGCATCTTTATCAGTTCACACTTCATTGCAAGTAGTGGAGCATTTTCTCGTCACAATGGCTGATCCTGAGAAGGCCGAGTCCAAGGTTCAAGATGATACAGAAATGGCTTCAGAGGAGGTATGATTGATAACTCTTAATAAGTTTGTTCAATATAAACATGATTCTGCATGCATAAGGTTTCTCTTTCCCTATCAATCCCTCAATATCTTTTTGTAATTTCTTTACTTAGATTAGACATGGAATATTATGCTAAGAGTATTTCTGTTGAACATAATCTTGTTTTTCTCATCCCTTGTAAAGTTGTTATTTATTATGTATATTATTCACTTGTGCAGTTATCAAGCTACCAAAATGTGACAATATCAAGCTATCAGGGGCAAGCTATCAGTATGTTGTATTGTAATTAGTTGTCAGTTTCCTTGTTTGCTTTCCTTGGTTCGTTGTGGGTTCAAGAAATTGACAAGAAATTCATTCATTGTTTTGCCTGTGAGCTCCATCTCTGGCTTATCATTATGATTCTTCCTCCAATGATCAAGTTATGTTCATATTAGCTCCACTTAATGCGCTTCCATTTTGATTATGCAAATCTTGGTTTTAGTGAAGCATTTATTTTGTTTTTTATTGGTGTAGTTATTTTATGTAGCAATGATGAATACTTACAGAAGATTTATTTTCACCCTGCTTGTGTATTGATAGACAATTTATTAAAATCCTGCAGTGGGAATATCTTCAAGGGAAATTTTTTTCACTAAAATGAGGAGCTCTAGGTAATAGTTTCCTAAAGTGAAATTAAATATATAAACTCGGGAACTAAGAAGTGTAGTTGAGGTGAGATGCCTGCCCTGTGTGCAGGGTGAGGACGAAGGAGCAATGGATGAGAGCAGTCGCAAGGAGCTTGTCGACCAGATCATGAAAGACCCTCAGGTACTGGCCTCATTGCAGGAGCGCCTCCACAGATACATTGGTCACCCCTCAGACTATGTAGATGTGAGTTTTGTCTTGTGACCTACTGTCTTGTATGACTTGTCTGCAAGCTAGTTGTTGATGAGTAATTTTTTTTTTGCATGCAATCAGTGTATTTATTTTATAGTTTGCAGAATATGTATATGCTGTATATATGTCACTTCTTATTTTTTTGGGTCACTTTTAAGGATCATTTCAAATTATCCAAGTCATTCCCTCATTGCAAACTTACCATATAATTTTCATCAAGAATTTCAAGTATTTGAGCATAAGACGTCTAAATGATTCTTTGGTCATGTTGATATCTCGCCGATGGAGCTGGCATGAAGTTTGTCTTCCTTGTTATCTCCTTAATAACAAGAGGGTTAATTTCATTAGGATAATAGCCTCCTATATTTTGGGAGATAATTTAGAGATGCTGAGGTGGTAGACCTTCTATTCTGGTTACTGCCTGACTGCAGCTAAGACTCGTTTACTTCTCTTGGAATAGACCAAATTCACAAGTTTGAATAACCATTAAAGCAAAATCTTTCCAATTTGAGTTTTAAATTTTAACTGTTAGCATTTTTTCAGTTGATTATTATGAAGACTGAAATGTACATTTTAATTTCTAGCATCGGTACATATGAGTGAACATAATTTTTTTTTTGCTTGTAACCTTGTAATTAAAAATCCTTGATGCCCTCTGCCTGACTGGAAATTGATGTTGCCGAATTTCCTAGTAACTTGGTTCCTTATATTCTCTGAGCTGCCTGTAGAATAATTGTGTACTTAATGGTAGTGGCATGACACACTCTGTGTTGCTTCTTGGATCTCAAAAGATGTGCTACTAGTTCCCTTTACTCTTCTCCATTTCCAGTGAATATTAACACATTTCGATTGCCGTTTTTCTATAGGTATATACAGAACTCAAGATCAGTGGTTTTAGTTTGAAACATTGTTGTGGAACAACTAACAGGAGGTTATTGTAGACTATAGTAATAAATCATTGTAAGCTTAACCAACTTAAATTATTTGCTTTTCATTCAGTACTTTTCATTTGTTTATGTTGGGCTTGAGAGTAATTTTTCTAAGGCAGTAATTCATTTTTTTTATATTAGATTTCACTTGCATTGATCATTATATTGGATGATACCTTGAACACAAGTCTCGCTGATACTGTAAAAGCATATGTATTCTTAATAAGAGATTTTATCACGCAGTATATGGAAAAAAGCCCAATTTATAAATCTAGAACTCTTGATGAATTTTGAGGTCTTGAACATGTACTTCAATTCAGATTTGTTAAAGCATAAAAATATGGAATGGCAAGTTAATCTTTATTTGCTAACTGAGTTGGCAAATTGCAGAATTTTTATGAAATGATTGGCTTATTGATGAGCCTCTGCAGCTATCGAATTTAATAAGAAGGATGTCGCCGATTTGAGGAGTATAAATCTTGGCTACCTCTTTGGCTTGAAATACAATCCATATTCACAGAAGGGGATGAAGTTCTAATGTTAAATTGAATGTTGACTGATTTTGCTTTTCAGCATTCGTATACAGGGGTTAGACAAAATAAGGGAAACGCCTGAGAAATTCACAAAGTATTGTATTTTGTAGGTCCACTTTTCGCAGCAATTGCAGCCTAAATTCGTGCGAGATATTGATTTATACAATTGTGAATTGTTCCAGAGGAATTTTAACGCATTCTTCAGTTGAAACTCCCTCCAGCTCTTCTAAAGACGACGGCGACGTGAATCGATTTCTGACTTTCATCTCTGAAATTGACCATAAATGCTCGATAATATTCAGGTCTGGTGATAGTGATGGCCAAATGAGATTCTAAATTGCATTAGAATTTTCCTCGTATAATTTTTTAACAATTCCTAGTGAACGGATCTGGGCCAAAATTCCTAAATAGTCACGGCTGTTGATTCTTCCATGAAGAGAAATCATTGGTCCGCCGGATTTCCTAAAAATAGCATACCATATCATCCCTGATGGGCCGCCATGTTTTACGGTTGGGAGGAGGCAGCCGGGTTTAAATGACTCTTTTGGCTGTCTCCACACGTAAACTCGGCCTGAGATTGGAAAGAAAGTAAACTATGATTCGTCAGTAAAAATCATATTTTTCCACTGCTCTACGGACCAATTCTGGAAGTTTTTATACCACTCTAAAAGGTTTTTGTATTTATATATGAAACCAGAGGTGTACTAATTGCAGCTCTTTCATAGATTCCAGATCTGTGCAGCTCTCGTCAGACCTGTCTTTATGGAAACTTTGTTCTGTAGATGTCTATTCAAGTCTGCAGTAATTTTAAGAGCCAGAGCCTTTTGATTGTCCCTCACAATTCAATTTAGGTACCAGCCGTCTCTCTTGAGAAAGCTTCGACCTTTGGCCAGACCTGAGTTTATGAGGACGTTTTTCCTTCAATTTAAAAAGCAGACTTATTTTTTGAAACAGTATCTCTAGAAAGTATTCGGGAAGTTTCTTTCTCACTAGCACCTGCCATACGGGCACCAACAATTTGTCATCTTTGAAAGTCAGAGCGGTTTGCCATTTATAGGTTATATAGCACAAAAATTTATTAAATATCCGTGGTCAAGGATAAAATCTCAATTAGGAGCAACAATAAAAAATGAATATATGTCAAGTTTTAATTGTTTATAAAATTTTCAAAAGGTACGATATCAAAATGTCAAGCGTTTTCCTCATTTCGTCCAACCCCTGTAATCTAAGCATAATTATTTAATTGGAAGCTTACAATGTGTGCGACGTTGATGACTTACGTCTCCATGTTACAGTCGCTGCCAAAGGCAATGAAAAGGCGCATCAAAGCTCTGAAGAAGCTTCAACTAGAGTTCACCGAGATGGAGGCAGACTTCTACAAAGAAGTTCACGATCTCGAGGTTAGTCATCATTTTTAAATGATCGACATGCAGTCATATTAGACTGGCGTTGCCTGACCTTGGAAATTTCTGCAATTTTTAATTATTTAATTTGATTATATTAGATTAATAATTATTAATATTCATATTAACTTGTTATTATATTAATAGTTAACTCGTATTGTAATGTTAACTATTGTTGTAACTAATGTTGTAATGTATTCCAATTAAATTAGACATATCACACCCTCGCAATACAAAAAGGATAGCACTCACCTTTTACTCTCATTGCAAAATATGGAATAAACTTTTTCATCTTATGAATTGAATTTGATGTATCAATTGCAAAATCAAATTATAATTTTTTTTATCTACTCCCCTTCTTCGACTTTCTCCAATCCTTTTCTATTCTTCCACTAAATGATTTTTCAAGTTTGATGTCCCGGCATAATAATTCTTGATGCGCGCCTGTACAGCACCTTAGTTTGTGATGCTAGGCCTCTAACAAACTCACAATTTTTATTAATATGTATACGATACCGATTTTTAAATGTATATTTTTGAGATAAAGTTGTATAGTTGGTACGCATCCTTCAACGAAATCTTTTATCAGTAAGAGGAAGGAGTGTATTTGCATTTTCAAATTGCTAATTGTATTCTTTTTTTTTTTTGCGGAGAAACTATCTTCTTATATTATCGTAGTACGATTGACGGTGACAGAATTTTTCTGCCGTAAGCTATTACTCAGATGTTTGTACCTTGTGTGGCATGTGATTCAATATTGTGTTGTTTGCCAGGTAAAATACGACAGTCAACACCAACGGCTGTACGAGAAACGTCGACAGATCCTCAACGCTGAGGTTGAACCAACTGATGAAGAGTGCGACTTCAAACTGGACGATGATGCCGAGGACGAAGAAGATAAAAATCTTTGCAATGACCTTGAGAAAAAAGCCAAGGTTGAAGGAGAAGAAGCAGAGAAACCTGCTGCCCCTGCGCACGGTTTTGATGAAGAAACCAAAGGCATTCCCGAATTTTGGCTCACAGTTTTCCGGAATGTTGACCTCCTCGCTGAGATGCTTCAGGATCACGACGAGCCAATCCTCGCTCACCTCACTGATATTAGGATTAAGTTCCATGATGAGCCCATGGGCTTCTCATTAGATTTTCATTTCTCAGAAAATGAATACTTCTCAAATAAAGTTTTGACCAAGTATTACGAAATGAAGTGCAAACCCGACCCCGAAGATCCCTTCAGATTTGAAGGTCCTGAAATAGTTAAATGCAAGGTGAGCGCGAACTCGCTTTTCAGACTAACCAAGGCAATTTGTTCATTTTGTTTCTAGAAGAAAGGTTTATTTTATCTGTACGAGATCTGGCAATTTCTGGGTTCTTAAATTTACTCGAGCAATTGGCTTATTTTCTAGTTGAGCTCTTGTAATGTTTATGTTGTAGGGCTGCTACTACTACTTGTTAGCTATGTTGGTGACAACAAATGCGCACCAAATAATTTGTCTGAAGATATTCATTGTGAACAAAGATGTATTGGGCCTATTGAAACATTTTTCTATTGCACTTGCATTCTCATATCGTGACTATCGCTAATTAACTTTAAATCATAACAGGGCTGCACTATTGACTGGAAGCAGGACAAGAACGTCACCGTGAAGGTCATTAAAAAGAAACAGAAGCACAAAACGCGAGGAGCGTTCAGAACTGTCACCAAAACTGTACCTCGTGATTCCTTCTTCAACTTCTTCAATCCTCCTGCTGGTGAGTGTTCTTTACGGTAGCCTGCTTAGATGGTACCTAATGCGGTAGGCTTCATGGGCATGGATTAGTTAATTTATTTATGTGATATATAGTTTTGTGTCAGCAATTATAATATACCGAGAGTTTCAACTTGCGACAATGTTTTTAGCGCATTTTTCATTCATGAAAAAAATACCCTATTGTGCTCATGTCCCTCCGTCCGTCCGTGACTTCACGTTTTCGTCGACGAGAAAATGCGCTCTCTGTCACTCACTGCAGTGAGTACTGAGTTATATTTTTTCATCACAACCTGTAAGACTCGACAGAAGTACTTGAATTCGCTATATTTCCGTTACATTGACTGTATAAGCTTAGAATTAATTTTTTCCTCATTTCGAGAGCAGAAATACATTACATTTTATATTGCAGTCTCCGATGATGTGGGAGAAGTGATTGATGAGCAGCTGCAGGCTTTGCTCACTGCCGATTTCGAGATTGGCCATTACATCAGAGAGAGGATCGTGCCTCGCGCGGTGCTCTTCTATACCGGCGAAGCGCTCGATGACGAGGACTTGGAAGAGGAAGAAGATGGCGAAGAAGGTATTCTATTTTATATTTAATTTCTTTATGTAATTTAGGGTTGCAGCTTATGCTCAGTTCGCAACATGGATGCTCAGATGAAATTGCTGTTTTTATTCAATTCGTAGCGTACATACTTAGATTAAAGGTGGCAACTGCAATTTGATATTTTGTTGCGATGTTAATGGTTAGAAATACTATCTCGTAGCCTTCTTTCTCGATGAAAATAGAACCGCCTTTCATTCCAACAGAAGAGGATGAAGAAGAAGAAGATGATCCAGATTACGACCCTACCAAAGACAAGGACGGCAAGCAGCAGGATTGCAAGCAGCAGTAAACTCAGCGCCTTCCCTCGCGTTGGTCAGCAAGACGACAGATCACTACGAACAACATGAATATCCTGCGAACTGCATGCTCGTAGCAATGAGAACTGAGTGCATTTGCTCTGAACTGCACTGTTGCGACCATGTCCGAGTATTCGTTGATTTAATGACTGCTGATAAATTAGCGATGGTCGTCCTGTTTCCATGTGGGGTTATTTTCCCTCGTCAATAGGGACGTCTGTAGCTGCATTTACTTGTTACTTGCAACGATGGATCTGATGTTGTCGGCCTTCTTACTCCAGTTTGGTGGTTTTACCATTCAACTCTTATTTCTTTATTGTTGGCATTAAATTTTAGTGACATTTACCTATTATGCTTCATCTCTATCCTTCGGTTTTTTCACTGCAAGGATCTGGCACGAGCTTGAGTTGAACTCCTCATCCGCGTGTCGAGTATCCCTAAACTGACGAATCCGGCCTTAATTTTCACTGATCAGCTATGTCCTTACAAATGAAGATCTGTTGAAGTTTTCTAGCAGTGCAAGATAGGATTGAACTTATCTCTCACAGATTAGGCGAGACTTGCTTTCAACTTGTCTGGCGAGAGTTAATAATGAAGATTCCTTATTTTCAAGGGAACTGAACTATAAGAGCAGCCTCTATTAGATTGTAAAATCTCGTGAGGTTACCAACATGATTATCGACTGCAGGTCCATTTCCACTATTGCCGCGGTTGCTCATCTTCTGAGTCAATTATTCTTTCTTTGATTATTCGTACCTATATTTTGGCTAAAGGATCTTTCTTACGTCTTTCCGTGTTCAGTAGTGGATTTAATTTCCTGTGTTCACACACGACTATATTGCATGCTTTAATCGAATCACTTATTGTTATTGGCCGCTATTTGAATGTCACCCAGCAAGGTAGTTTGATGTGATATTAAAGCTATTGATCTGTACGTACAGGTAAACTTTTCCTATGAAGCGTTTTTTTTTTCATCTGGCTTGTGATTGCAGGTAGAATGTAATGAAGAGGAATTAAATTTCTCCGTTTGAAATGAATCGCGGATGTAAGACTTGTTCAGTTTGTTCCAGTGTTCAGTTCAGTTTTGCGTGAAGATTGGCAAGATTGATGCAAATCGTAACCATGTAACACATGACGTCTCGACTATTCAAACTTGAATTTCACGAAAAACGTGCTTCCCGCCATTACCGATTTACCACAAGCTTTGTCATCTTGCACCTTCGGTCTATTTAAAAATAGGTTTGTGACAATCAAGGATAAATAAAATATATGCACAAAATGGTTGCTTCAAATATTGAAAAGCAAAGTAACTCAATCCAGTAACTAATTGAACTGATATTAATTTGCAAAAAAAAATTCTAGACCGACTAAATGTTCTTCACACTTAACTATAGGACATTTATAAATGCGCAAACGTTTCGCATCTTTGTTGCTCGTCAATTCATGAGGAACGGATGGTTCGGAGAGTGCACACGTAAACGAATACGATCCAAGGATCTACACGAATCCTTTCCCGAGTTAAGCAAATGCTAAACGCACGTTAGTGCACTTCATGGTACAGTTTATACACGCTGCAACTACATTACCACTAGCCAACAACACCTTGCTTATCTGTACATCACAAGTGTCAATACATCGTATGGGCAAATTAGAAAATATACTTCATGTTTAAGCCTATTTACAATAAGATAAGGAAAACATACAGCTAATGTGATGCCTCTTACATTCGCTTGACAAGCAGTTCAAATTTTGTAAAGAAATTACTCCTTTTGTTAAGCATAAATGTGAAAGTTTGTTGTAAGAAATGCAAAAGTTCATTAGTCGAGCTGAGGAGCTTCCTTAAACTCCACCCGAGGTATGAACTAATAGTTTTCGCTATGAGGTAATTAGACCCATAACAGAACCAACTAAAAACTACACTAACAAAGTTGGGCTCATTTAATTCATCTGCCATGACATTATAACTAAAATCAAACCTACCACATAATTTTATTCAAACGACGAAACTAATAAGGACAGCACAAGGAAAAATATATGAGCTTCCCACTGCTACAAACGAGCTACGAACTTGCAGTTGCCGAGCGTATGCACCACTGAACGGAGAGTCTCACGTCTGACATTTAGTTCATACGGCAGGCAATCCGACGGTTAAGTTACTTCGCGTATCAAGCCTAGTATTCAAAGCCTTGAAAGAATTGAGAAAACTAAGCCAAACACGAATAAATCTAATTATTTTAAAATACACTTTCGCGTGAGCACCATTAATGGAAGAATCTTAATGAAAGACACTTCCAATGCTTACATACACTCCAGGATTTGATTCCTGGACAAAAATTAGCTTGCACGGTATTCGTCAATGATTACGATCATGGCAGGTGTATAAATTATGAAAACTTAATTTCTGACAAGTTCACACAAATTAACATCCAGTTAAGGTGATTAAGCGTCGACGCTCTGTCCTCCTGCAACTGTTGACGACCCGAGCTTGTTGACCATGCAAGACCGCGCCACGCTCTCGAAAAGTCTGCAAAAATATGAATGTTATAAAGTAAAGGTTACTAGATCGTAATAAGAGAAGGGAAACAAGGCAGTAAACGTCTGCAAAAATATTAATCAAGAAACAATTCTGGCGGCAAAAACATGAGCGTTTGGAAGATAGATCGAGCAAATTCTGAGGTTCTGAAATGCTCTATATAACAAATAATTAGCTTAAAATCGGGAGCATCGTGATATTTATGCTATATTCTGAGGTCTAGAATGAATTTTCACTTTCTTAATACTTACTTCTCTATCTCGGGTGCACACTTTACGAACTCGTGAGACCAAAACTTGTAAGTCGAATTTTTGATGAGTTCGATGAAAGTGATGAGAAGACCCCACGGATGTGGTCGATTAACGATCAAACGCTCCAGCAACACCCGCGTTATCTGTGATATTGAGAACATTAATCTCAAGAGTTAATCGGTGCGCAATTTCTAAATGTGTTTCTTGCGAAAGAAACACATTTTTGAAGTCTGACCCTAATTCAGGATGACCCAACAGAATCTTGCCTCAGTGGGCAATCTTGCCACAGCATGACAGTTAAAGTCTCGATTGCTTTCCTCCAGGCAAACTGCCGTCTCTACCACGATTAAATAGAAGACGCACCTTCCGAATTAGTCGATGAATGTTCAACAATCGTTTGGTGTTTTGCGATTGGTAGTTTGAAGCCTGCGCTACGACTAAGTTCACTAATGATGGATTTATTGATTGCCGCGAAGGCTGCCGTCTGATGCAGAGCGTAGTTTACCAGCAATGAAGCAAAATATGAACCAGGCGTATGAACAGCGATGAATGAAAAATAGTAATTGCGAGCTGCAACGAAATGACCTAAACGAGTTGATTATGAAGAAAAAATAAGCTAGTATCGGTAAAAACTAATAATAAAAACTGCTCCAACAGAAATGCGTGTTGGACAATAAAAGAATCTTTCTGAAATAAGTCCATCTCAATTAAGTATTGACGATGATGATTGAAAATTACGATTTTATGATACCCTGCATCATTGTGAACACGAGCGACGTAAGGCCTTTATTGACTTTACCTCTGGTTCTCTAGGTATACGCAGAGGCTCTTGTTGCTACCGGCGCTACTTTTCACTTGCTTATCGGCCATACCTAAAAGCAGTTTAAACTTATATTTTAAAAATTGGTCTCGAGTTCTTCAACACTAACAAGTCGCACTAGTACATAGGGAAAAGCGCTTGTTGACTATTTAGCGAGTTTCTGCATTCGTTCATTTGAAAAAAATTAAAGATAAAAATTATACAAAATTAAGCATGAAGAAAAGCGGAAAGTATCCATTAAACAAACCAAGGAATAAAATTTCCCTAAAGAATCGCATTCATTCCGCCAAATATTACGGAAACAGAAAGTGTTCCTTCGATGATAACTACAACACGTATAGCTTTAAATCACAGTAACAGCATCCAGATATTTGCTTGATAATATCATCATACCTGCTCTTGAATGGCCTCTGTGTTGGCTTCTGCGAAGAGGTAGAGGAGAGTGCAGCTGAAATAGTGTGTGTGGCTGTTGGGGAATCGCAGCTGGTTGGCGATGGCATTCAAGAACAAATAACGGCCTGGAAATGAAAACAAAAGTCAGATTCATGGCATTATAGCAGAGGACTTGACGATGGTATACAGCTTAAAATAATGATCATCAAATATAGGCAAAATAAAGGATCAAAAACTTATCGTGTAAACTTTCTAAATTTGGAAACTTTTATCACAGGAAAACGTCTGAGTGCACCTACAAGTACACATACCTTCAGTGTCCATGTCGACAGCCAAGTTTTGGAAAATATCCATATGCGCTGAGTGGGCAATGGTGGACATGGATGGCGTCTGGCCCTTTGATTGTATTTGTGTAATGGCTTGCATGCCAACGTAGACGACGAGAGCATTCAGGCTCTGGATGTTGTAGCGCATGCCGTCGTCGCCTGGCTGGTTGGTGCCCAATGACTGGAAAAGTCTCTTTCGTTAAATCGTACACAAATTGTAAACTAATCATGTTAATGATTACAAATCTGCATCTATAGTTTTTATTCGGAGTTTAAACGAACATAATACGGTCCAAGATTTAGGCAATTCAAGTTAGTGACTGAAAACAGGAGACGGTAGGTCATTAGCGTATTTCATATCAGAATAATAACAAAGTAATCTAAGATTTTAGATCGGAATGAACGTGCATGAAATTTAGGGTTGTACAAAATATCATTTCACCGCTTTGGCAAGGTCAAGACAGAATCTTTACAGGATACTGAACATAACTCGAGTTTAAAAAATCAGCGGTTAGAGAAATTAGAAAATAATCTGGAACATTGCATCACCGAGTTTGGAGAGGCTTGTAGATATCCTCTAAGCTCAGTTAGGAAGGTAACGGGTGTTCGATTCTTGAGATACGAGTCTAAGTTGGAGCGCAGCTCAACAGGCGTGATGTAGCTGAACACGTCGCAGTGCATCTTGGGGCTCACGGCTATCTCAGGAAGCATGTCCACCTGCAAACAATTAGGGGGAACTAAAATACAAACTCTCGCAGGTGCTTGCGGTTCAATTTCTTTCAGGAGACGTAAAGCAAACGAAAACATGAAAATTTGCTTTAGCAAGATATCAAATTACTGACCTCGAAGATAACAAAATAAATTTCAGGGTAAATTCGCCTCAATCACAAAATATGTTCTTGTTATGTAGTTCGACGCACCAACTCGATAATGGTGACGTATACAAATTAAATATAATAATTATGAACTTGCCTTGAGATTGGGAGTGAAGGGGTCAGGGAGGCGCATGTTTCTCGGGAACGCGGAAAGAATTAGGTTCCTCATTTGGATGCAATTAGGCGGGATGGCATCACAGAAGTCGTAGTGATACTCGCACAGGAACTCCGGGAAGTCATGAAGTAATACGAGCAGGACTCGCAGAGTTCCCTGTAGGTAGCATGAGTGCTAGGATTATTTCCTAGTATATGACGTGAGGAAACTAGTGTTGTGTTAAATGATTATTCAAGCAGGTTGTTATACGGACTAGAAGGAATAAATTCAAAAGAGAATATAGATCGCAAAAAATGACTTAGCATTATCTCAAGTTGATAATAATAATCATAATAATAGTAGTAATAATGAGATATAAGCACCTTGTAGAGCTTGGTAAGCGGCTTAGCGAGTTGTGCATTGCGCAGATATGGAGCCAAAAACTTGAAGAGATCGTTGAGGAGCATGGAATACATGGCCCATCCTTTGGGCTGAGGCGTGATGGCCAGCATGCGTCCAATGAACACGCGGTGGCTCACTATCTCCAGCCACGCGTAAGCGAACCCAGCGCATTTTGAGGGCCGGAGGAGGTGCAGAGTTTGGGTGAAAGCCATCAAGACCTGCAATAACTTACGCTTTAATATTGTGAACTCGTGTTCTTAATATAACTATACGCCATAAATGAAGCTGCACAAATAATAGCGAAAAAGAATCAGTCTACATTATTCAACGGTCAGCAAGTCGGTCGCATGAAAAAAAGTAACTAAATATCGATGGTAAAACTTAAACAGATCAAAATGTAGTAATTTTAGCTCACCGATCAACTAGAATGAATATGGCAAATACAAGTCAAGTTGCGACTAACTAGGTGGCTGGAGGCCAATTCGGCCGGCTGCTATAATATTTCGCATCGAAATGTGATAAATAGAGGACAAATTCCTCGCTTCGCCAATTCGCTCTTACGAGGTCGGATAGAGGTTTTATAGATAGTAGAGGTTTTTCTGAAAAAGTCAGACTCGAGTTCAATCATACCGTAACTATCCCGAATTTATTTGAATGTTGAAGGGAGAGAGGAAGTTTTTTCTTTATTTTGTGGCAACAAGTAAAGACAGAAAATCGATATTGCTAGAATCTCGAAACAAAAAAAAAATAGATTGTTGATACAGAATAATACAATTTAAGAAAAAAATTCACACACAAACCACTAATGCAACAAAGTTTAACAAAGCTCACCGATACATTGATGGTCTCGAGCACGGGCTCTGGAGCGTTGAGCTCGAGGAACAGCATGATGAGGATGCGGTGGTAAGGAAGCTGGTAGAATTCCGTGTTGCTGCTTTCAATATCATGGAAAATAATGCCGCATACAAGACCCAAAACCTGAAATTTGCCGACAAATAAGTAATGTTCTTGAGAAAAAAGGCAACTTCATTAAAGCGACAGACAGATATCAAAAGTATCCACAAGATCATATGAAAATAGTTCATGGAACGTTGTCAAAGTGAAATTAAATTTTTAATTTCAGGAGCATCTCACTTTGTTTAGTAGATTGATCTTGGTGCTTGGATTATTAGCCTCTCCACTGTGCTTGATGAGTAGCGCTACAAGCCGCACGAAAGGATCGACGTGTTGGAAACATTTATTGCGGTACTGGGAGATGTTCACAGCAGCAATGGTCGTGCTGGGAATTTGAGAACCGTTCGCTGATTGCTGCGCCTGTTGCTGTTCACTCAAGCTGCGAATGCAGACATCTCTGCAAAAGCTGACACAGTTACGGAAGAAGCGTGTAATTAGCTCATCTGTCTTGAGGAAACCGTGTAGGTTCATTTGTTTCACGAAGTGAGTAAATGCTGTTGCTGAACCTGGTCCAGCTGTTGGTGCGTGGTAGAGATTGATCCATTCTCTAAGAAGAACTTCAGTTTTATCCTGAAGACCTGCGGGGTCATTGAAGTCTCTTGCTTGGTTAACGCCTGACTGGAAGTGCATGCTGGACGTGAAATTTGTAACGCTCGTATTTGGTTGCTGATTTGCTGCAACAACAGCGGCTAGGGCAGCAGCAGTTGGCATTGCAGCAGAAACTGCAGTGGGAGCCGCAAGAGGAACAGCAACAGGATTCTGCTGATTTGCAACGACTACGGCAGCTGAGTTTCTGTCGCCTGCAGAGCTTGCCAAATCGTGCTTCATTCTGAGAGCCTCAAGAAGGGCCACAAGAGAGTCAGGAGCGTGACGCGTTTGGCAGAGACGTATCATGAGATCAAGTGTTTGTTGTAAGTCGCTCTCGCTCAGCACTCCTTGGCTGTCTTCAACCAAGTAGACCTGAAACAAAATTCTTCATCGTTTAACAGCAGCTAATCGAGTCCTCGAACGAATGCTTGATAAATGGATAAATCCATGTAACAATATACACATGCATGATATATATACATAGTCTAGAAAAAATCCGTTTATCAGTATTTATCCCAAGTTGATGTAAAATTTTGTAGATGAAATTTGAACATGCATTTTTCATTCCTCAACAGGCATACGAAAATAAAAAAATAAAAACGACCAACTATATATTTTTTCATATAATAAATGGCTGTAATTTTTCAACATTTTCACTTTACATATAAAGAATGGACACCCTATAGGGCGAGTCTAAATAAGAGAAGAACCAATATCAAGCTTAAGAAAAGTGCACGCAAGTTATGTGTTGGTTGTAGATGAAGACTTACTTGAACGATCTGCATGGCGAAAAATAGAGGCAGTAGATTACGCTGTTCTTCAATCGATCTAGCAAGAAGTTCATCAAAAGTTGGAACGTGGAAGAGTGATGAGCGGAGGAGCCAGTCCACCACATCAACATTGAGTTTCACGTCGTCTCGCATTTCATTCCATACTCTGCGAAGGTTAATTCCATATACTAATAATTGTTTTAAATTCTACATTAATTTTCATCCGTTAATGAGCGATCTCGTACAATCAAGTCATGGTATTTTCAGGAAGACTTCAAGATGATCCTCGCCCGTTAAAAGACACTAATATAATACAAACTATTTGGGCAGAAATCAATGCGTAACCTCGATTAAATAATTTCATGACATGCACCACTCATAAGTTTCAGCCTTTGCCTGAATTAAACTTGGTTCGGCTTGACACACATACATACGACACGTTAACTTATTGAAGAACTACAAGTTGAAGATTGAGCCTCACTTTGTGATAGTTTTGGTGGTCCACTGCACTCCGTAAACTCGTGGGTCGGCAATTGTTTTGAGAAGCAGAAGATGAATGTCCCGGAATTTCACAACAAGCGGATTAAGCTCCGGATCCGTGGGCAGTTCCCTGGTGCCCTCTAGCAAGTGCTCCATGCACTGAAAGCCCAAGTAAAATAAATCATAAGTACATGAGAATGACGCAGATAAATTGATATATATATTTTATTAAATGAAGTGACAACATTCAAACTCAATAATTTAAATGCATTTTACTAACAATAAAAATGATCGTTTTAAAATAAGATCATTTAAATTAAAATCCATCAAGCAGTTAATAAACTTGCCACACAATAGTGTGGTTGGTATATTACATTAACTGTTATGTATATATTTATTTATTTTATACACTTATTTATATTTTATTTTTGTTATTTACACATTAAATTACAGCAACTGTTTCCAAGCCAACAAAAGCACTTTGCGACAATGGGACCAGCCAAGAAGAACTAATGACTTACTTTCTTAAGGAGAATTGGAATGGAATTGAATTCTCTGTTGGTGCGGATATGGCCGAGCATAGTTAGGATGTTATGAAGCATGACAGCCACAGGGCTATCAGGCGTGACAGTATTGAACGCCTGGATGGTTTGTTCAATATCAACACCGAAGCGCTCGGTCAGAAGTAGGAATGCTTGTGACTCTTCCAGAACGTAGGGCTGCAGATGAAAATATAAGGATTAATAGCTAGGCATTCTACTATGAAATATCTCAATATCAACACATTTGACAAGCATCAACTATTACAATACAGCGAAATAAGCTCAAATTATTTTCGGTGCTAACTTCGGCCAATTAATATTTTTGAAGAAGTTGACAACATTACTAAGTTATACATATCATGTTGACTCACGACGGTCAATGCTTTCGGCAGCAAAGTGGTTGACACTTCTTGGTCAGAAGTGGGCGAGAACCCAGGGATGTGACGGCCAAAATCTTCATATACGCTCATTTGCTGATGAGTCACTCGACCAACTTTCAAGCGCATCTGTTCAGGCATTCTTTCAGCCTGATAAGTGAGTGCAGCTGTATCACAATAATGCCTGTTCTCAGCACGAGCTAGCTTACGAACTTCATATTCTTGATTGAGTCGCTTCTCCATCTCCATCACGGCCTTTTCCGCAGAAGTTTTTTGAATAAATGCACAAGTAATAGCCATATTTTCGACTGTTATGGCATTAGCCAACTGCTCGATTTGGGCAGCCTGGGCTACCGTGTTGCCGCGAGTGAAAGTCGGCGTGAGTTTCTGCCGGATGCTTTTTGAGACGGTAGAGGCAAGATAGTCTTTGCTCGTGATCATCACCATCGAAGCGGTTAGGTATCGTACCATCATGTGAGCGGCAGCTCTAAGGTGAGTCTCATCAGGATCCAAAGCAAAGTCTTTCTTAACTAGGGTCTCAGCTGTAGACATGGCTATCTTGATATTGCGTTCCATCACAACCGAGAGGAGCTCCTGAACCGCAATTTCAATGGCTTCGCGAACAAGAGTTTTCAACTGCGCAGGGTTCCCTAACTCGACAAGAAGAGGAATATTATTCAGTGAAATGTGCTGTTCCAAACCCCGAAGAGTCGTGACATTTATGTCAGCATATGCAAAGGTCTTATCACTCGCCGGCATTAAGGCCACAATAGGAGCAGGGGTAGCTGATCCACTACCCAATTGACCCGCTGCGTGTAGGTGATAGGGCACTGGGGTAGCTTGTGTACAAGTCATCCCAACCTGAGACAATACCGTCTGCGGAGTGGGCGTGGCGCCTGCCGATGAGGAACCTTGTCCAGAAGGAATACCTACGCCTTCACTCACGGAGATGGTTCCAGTGAGGAAACTCTGGTTAGGGAATGTAGGCATGGTGGGCAGAAGTGGAGTGCTCTCAGCGCGTTTGCCGCGAGCGAGAACAGCAGCGACCTCGCTCATGGCGTCAACAGCGCCTGGAGTTGTCACTGACATGTGCCCTCCGAAATTCGGAGGATTTTGCGGACCGAGCTGATATTCCCGGATGCTTAATGACGTAGCTTCCTGCAGTACCGTCTTTGGTTTAAGACTGTCGACGGTTATCTCAAGTTTGTTGCACAGGACTTCGATTTCAAACTTGAGATGAAGTTTCATGTCTTGTAAAGCATGGATTTCCGCTAAAATGTTCATCAAAGACATGGTCCATGGGTTGGGCGGTTTGAAAACTTTACTCTTTCCGCAAGATTCCAATACTTTCGTAACAAATGGCACAACATATTGCATTTCCTGTGTTCCTTTCAGATATGCTTCGATGAGTAAGGATTTGAAGTTTATGTCAATGTGAAGAATGGGTTTATTTTTTGCTAGTGTAAGCAAACCAAGCCAATGTCCAAGATTCTTAAGCAAAGACTTGTCCGAAAAATTTGCAGAATTTTTCTCAAGCTTGAACAGAACTTTGATATTGCGCAACGTTTCGTCAATAACAAGTTTGGTGAAAGAAGTGAGCTTGAGAGCATCCAAAAAGTTGGAGTAAAGATTATGAAAGTTTGCTTCGATAGAAGCTCTTTTCATGACCAGATATTGAGCGATCCAAGGCCAGCAATCATCAGACACAACATCAAGCAGCTCTTCACTCTTCTGAGCCAAGTTCATCTGGGACAAGTTGTTGAAGATAAAAGCAATTTTATCATTCTGTTGCTCAGTTGGCTGCCTCAGAGGGATCGTTTTTTCTTCAGAGGCGACGAGCAGAGTTTCGATGTTGGTTGTTGCAATGCTGGGTTTGTTACCAACCGCAACGACCGACTGGGGACGCGTTAGCGGCACTCCGACGTTACCCACAACAGGAGGGTTCAACTTGACTGGCGTAGCACCCGATCCTGTTGCGGTGAGGAGACGATGTTGGGAGGACATGGAGGGATGAGAAGGAGCAACTGGAGGAAGCAAGTTATTAGGCAAGACGGCAGAATTAGCTTGGTGGAACATAGTTCCAGAAACTCCGCCACCGCTGTCTAGAGCTTCAAACTCTGGCGGGAGGACTGGACCGCTGGAGCGGGTGGGTGGCTCTGATACTTGCGTCCCATAACGCACCCACTGTAAAAAAAATAACATAGGTCAATTATAAAAGGCATGAATAAGATAATTTCCAATAATTACTACATAACACAAGAGTGAACATGGTAACTTGAAAAACTAAATTTCACACAAAAAAGTTCACACGTTCTATTGTATTATAACTATTCAACTATTAGTCTAGGCTAAAATTTGTAAATGAATCTGGATATATAAAAAATAAAATAAAAACAATAGTTGAAATTTTAAATTCCTTCCTAATTTTATATCGGGGTTCATTGTTAGAAGAAAGCTTGCATGGGTATTATCAGAACTTAAATAGAGTCAGGAATAATTGTGATTGTAGGAAATACAATCTGCTAGAGTTTCTTCGATTTTTAGGCATCACGAGCACGGCGTTGTACAACTAATGACATAATATATGTCAGAAATAAGCATTTAAGAGCTCACTTCAGCGAGGTGCGGTGGGAAGCTGTTGAAGTGGTCGATGGCCATTATGTGGGAACAGTATCGTGGATACTCCTTGAGGCGAGAACGAAAGCGATCCAAAGCGAGGATGCCGAAAAAATACATCTTGCTGTTTAATGGCTTCTGTAGAGCTTCCATGACGAACCTCAGCGCCACTCCTAGAGCCATGAACCTGAAGAGGGAAGTTAATATGTAACAAGCATTCCTAAATAAATGCGACATCCTTATGCAACTATTTCGAGTGATCAAATTCATGATAAGCTTCTGAAGGGAATCGGCGATACTAAAAGTTAAGTTGAAAGTAATGTCAGGATAACTTTATACTTTTCATTAGATTGTTAACACATGAATGATAAAAATTATGACTAATAAATAGTTCAGACTTACTCAACTAAGCCTTGGTCAATGATACCCCCGAAGAGTTTAGCTGTGGTGAACAGTTCACGATGAGGATACGTGGGGAAAAATTTGTACTCTTCAAAGAGATTTCGCAGCATGCAGGCATACACTTCACGTTCTTTCTTAACACTGGACTCGTGGAACTTCTTCAATAGTTCCAAGACCTGTAAACAAACAATAAACTTCTGTTAACATACAACTTTCTATTGAACGCGGTTGCTCGCTAAATAGATTCATTTGAATATCATACTACGCAAGTAGATTGATAGTTTTATATTAAAGTGTCTTTTCCTTAATGGATACGAGTAAAACTGAATTGAATTTGAAATTGTAATCATACTTAGAATAAAAGTGATAGATAACCAGGACGCATAGAGGGGACATTTTGTAGGACACCTGCACTTGAGGTGTCATACAAAATGCTAAATAGCATTAATGTCTGTAAGGTTGTAATGGTTCACTGTAAGGTTATATGTTAATAGCATTTATTATGTTTGACCTCTTTGATGGAGAGAGTTGAGTTGGGTGGGCTGTTGTAAATGCGCTGGAAGAAACTGTTGGCTTCATCCTCGACATCTTTGCTGACCATCGCGGGTAGTTCGAAAATTTGCGACACATCCACTGCACACATAAAGCAAATCGCAGTCTAACTGACAATCGCCATCAAATTATAAAATCAAGAGGTTCGTTATAACTTATATGAATAATAAAACAAGAAGTTCCAACAAAATGTTAGAGCGATCAAGGGGATGTTATTAAGGTTATTGCTTACTAGGACCGTGTTGAGGCATGAGCTGTGATCCGACTGCGCTCGAGTGGGAATTGTTAACAAGTGATGGACCACCAGCAGCCACCGCAGCTCCAACACCCAGAGGACCTCGTGACGGCGATCCAGGTGGAGGAGCGCCAGCGAGACCCACTCCACCAGAGCCTAAACCTGCCGAGCCTGTGAGGTTTGCAGCGGAGTTCAAAGAAGTCGAACCCAACGCCCCTGGGAACATTGAGGTGGCAGGAGCTCCCGCGGTGGTACCTGCTGCGCCAGCGCCGCCGCCAGCGAGGGACAGCGCCTTCAGTCCTGGCGAGAGGGCGCTCAGGGGGTCCTGAGAGGGGAAGCCCAGCTGATGGTGGGCAAACCACGAGTAGTGGAAAGGAGGAGGCAAAAACCCAGAATTGTAGCGAGCAAATCATAGCGAAGCGAGAGGAAGGTAGAAAGAAAAGATGAAAATAAGGATGAGAGAAAAGCAGATGAAGGGAGGAAAAAAAGTATCAATTAATTTTGTGCAAGGGTCGAACAAGTCGTCTATCCTGGAGACATACCTATGTTCCATGAAATACAATAATGTTGTTTACATAAAAAAAGATTGATTTCATGAGCTGTGAAGATTGGGAATTGCAAGGGTTTATCAAGTGTTAGTCAGGGTCCATTCCTGTATGGGAAAACAGGGCATGGATAAAGAGGAGTGGGTACAGCTTTGCACATATTAATGTTAACATAATAGAACTTGTGAAATATTCTTCCTAAGATACAAACGCTATTGCGCGAGCACAAGATATCTTTGTACCATGGGCATCTTCGGCATTGTACTCAGCAATGGAGTACAATTGTAACGATCAAAATCAATGCAGTCCCATGGCAACTACTCCCGTCAAAACCAGTACACACCAGCCGGCCGGCACCGTATGTATACTGAACGACCTGGCCCTCATTTCATGCATGGGGCTGCAAATGACGGCAAAACGCGTCCGATCTTTATAACTTATGCAGCCCATCCGATACCTCGTCATCTCTCGCACAGACGTCGCGGGCCTACAGACCAGCAGAAAATCCAACAAGGCATTCCATCGGCAGCCTCAAAAGGGCTTCCATTAACCACCTTCATACTACAAATGGCGTACTTCCCTTTCTGTTCACTTAGCCCTAGTTAAATCACAGTTCATTCCTGCTCTTTCCATTACCACACAGTATCCGTTTTGCTCGTGATTGATAGCTATGGAAGAGGCCTCATTCAACTACCTAACACCCTTTCGGCATCATTATTTTGGTGGATGTCATCATTCATTACGACTCTTAGCGAGAGTAGTCTCCTACTTGCCCCACTACCTGCGATTGCTCCGAATAAGCCGTGATTCTTCATCTGTATCTATCAGCATAACTACGTTTGAGCACACACCAGCTTCCTGAAAACCTCAACGGCTATGATCGACCGCTCCCCAAACCTCGCCTGTCTCGAGTTCAGATACCCCATCCAGTCCTCACATCGTCTTCTTGCCAGGCTTTCATTCTCCAACATATCAATCACCGCTATCGCATTTCTCTGTATAACAGCCAAGAGGAGACTTCTTGGCCATCCTTCCTGCCCCCAACAACATTGAGCCCAGCACTACAACAACGGACAATGCTAGACAAGTACAACAGGACGAGAACCACTGCTTTGCACTAATGGAACTTACCAGCCCCGGGATATTTGTGCGCTGGCGAGATGCCGCGAGGCGGGAGCTGTTCTGGCTGATCGTCAGAATGCTTTCCGACAATTCAGGATTCATAACCACTCTGTAACAAGGCAGTGCCAAATTGTTCACCAAAACCTTGACATATTCAACAAGAAACAGGGACAATAAGCAGAAAAATATAATAAAAAACTTCATTGATATATTTAATGTCACTCTGAATAAAAATGCGGCAAAAATTTTTGTAATCTCCCAGCCTACAGGTCATGAATTTCAACAAATTGCAGGTAAAAAATTTCAAGTTAAATCAAATAGATGGCCTGAAAGCTTTTAAAAAATTTTTAATTATAAGGAATCGGGTTGAGTTATAAGACACACCTCACAAACGAAGCCAGACACTGAGTGATGGTGACGAGAGTCTCGTGTGGCAGCTGAGAGGCTTTGGGCAGAGGGCTTGGAGCATCATCTGCCGTGCCCGGAGCACAAGTAAGCTGAGGGCATCTTTGCTGGACAAACTTAACTAGTGCGCTCAAGAAAGCTTCCCCATGCTCCTGAACTTTGTCATTAAGCCACTTGTCCAGCTTGAGGAACTCCCTTCTGAAGGCCAAGCAAGCGAGGTCTATAACGAAGGGGAAGGCCGTAGCGTTGAGGAGCATCGATAAAGCTTTTAGGTCTTGTGCGACGTCGAGTATCCGACTGAGGCGCGTCTGGTCGCTCTCCTGCACCATGTACCAGTCAGACAGAGCTTGCAGCATCACCTGTTGTGAAAAACTTTTGTGAGGCCTTGCCTTGGCTGAACACGAGCGGGACACGTCCTATTAGGAAGGTTTTTCATGAAAGATACTAATGTCCCGCATAGAAGCGAGGTGTTGATCACGTTGTTTTCATCAAATGATCGATATTAACAATTCTTTACATATATTAATGAGAAATAGTAAACATGTTTTCAGAAGCAGCATTATCTTGATTAAACCATATTTTAAGTCAGTTTAATGATAAGACAGCCAGTTTACTTCACCGTTAATACACGCAGCGCACCAAACACATGTCAGTAGCTAAATATTAGAGAAAGATGACTTCAAGACATCTTAAACAGAATAACTAATTAGAGGAACTAGCTTAGGCAGATTATAAGTGGTGTTAAGTTATGCGTTTTTGCGAACCTTCTGTATTAGTAACAGAAGGTTCGCAAAAGTGTGAAGTCTAATAATACGTGTCTTAATAATAATAATACGTGTCTTTAACAAACCAATTTGACTTGAATTGTTACTTAATCTGGAATCTATCTTACATAGACGCAATATGAGAAAAAAATACCTAAATATTTTTCAAAGTCTATGGTGTCGCTAAATGTGCCCAGTAGGAAAATAAATGATATTCGTAATAACTTTTGAACTAGTGCTGCATTATTCTTTTTACCGAGCCTGGAGAGAGAAGGGCAAATCAATATGCTAATAATGAACATTTTGATGTAAATGTATCAAGTGAAAAACTTGGAAGTATGTACGTATTTGCATTGCCAGATGCAATTCTAGCCCATCTCTTACCTGTCTTACAGCATTCTTGTTATTGGGCGTGAACCAGGCAGTCTGAAGCACAGCAGCAGTGTTGGGGTGAGGCTCCAGGAAAACTGGCATGAGTTGTGCTATCATTTCCCTTTTGATGCCACCCATTAGTGTGTTGCTCTGAACCAAGCCAAGTAATAATACGTCAGGACAATTTTGTCGCGCTAGAGAGAAGAGCGCTTTTACTGCCGAGTATTGCGTGTTTTCCAGTGACAGCAGCAGTTCTATAAGATTCAAGCTCCTCCAAGTTGCCACCTGTGAAGGGAAACAAATACAGTTCATGAATCAGCTGCCAGTACCGATCGGTACACAAAATTTAATATAATCCAACAAACATATAGCACCCAATAAAAGAGAAAACCATTCAAAATACATATCTACAGAACACATTCATTGTTTTTTTCTTTCATGGTAACTCGTTCAAATCATCGCTGATTGCATACCAGGAACAAAATTGATTGGTCCATTTAGCGCTTAAGGAAGATTACACATCATGACGACTCTGACTGACCTCCTTGTTTTCGAGTTCAGGCACGGTTTTGAGCATCTCGACAACAACAGGCGTGCAGGGATAATCAGAGAAGCAGAAGAGATCAGGACAATAAAGCATGGCATTGATGAGACTGAGCTGCTCATCTGCGTTCTGCCACTTGCGATACAAGCAATCCACTGGATATTGGTCAGCTCGCGCATAGGCTCCACTCAGACGACGCGTTGCGGTGACGAACATGCCGAGACTCGTACGGTCGATCACATGGAAGTTCTTCACGTCGAGCTTCATGATGACTTCTTTGGCGGATATTGGAGCAGGAGCGAGCTCCATAATGACCTGCATCACTACGTCCATGTTCCATGTGGTAGTTTGGTTGCTGGAGTTGTTCCCTGAACTGTTCTCACTCCTGCTTGCTGGATTGTTTGAGTTTGGTCCGAGTTTGTCCTTGTCACTCCACAGAGACGCAGGATTTGATGGTAAGTGAAGACCAACCTAATCAATTGGTAATAGGCATTAAAAACATGATTAAGGCATCAGGAAGACATTTAACATTTAGACCAACGTATAACTATAACTCAATCGGGAGTGGAGTTAAATATTTGGCAACGCAACCCAAGCATGCACTTGCATACAATTGACAGACACTAAAGACAATTGTCATTAATGAAACGAAATTCCCGAAAAAAACTCAATTATGTGAACAAGATGGAATACAACTCCTCTATTATTCAACTGTCCACAAAATAAGTTGAAGGAAAAAGTATGTAAAATAGAGCACTGTTTACCTGGTCATGCCTGACGTGTGCATTGTAGTGCGCCCGTGTGGCAGTGACCAGGAAGCGGGCTATGCTGGAGGCCGTGAAGGCGGGGCGCGACAGAGCGGCTAAATTCTTGCGGCAATCTTCAATGGTGGCATTACAAGATGGCCCCTGCTCCATCAGTGTCTCGCTCAAGATCAAGTCAGCCTGAGGAGAAAATTCGTTAATTTCATCATTGACACACGGGATTTGGAAACTTGATCGAGTACTTAATCAATTCATCAATTAGTACTAAAAAATAACTAAGTACCAAACAAGCACATTTCATAACGAAAAAAGGTTAAGAATAACAATATGTTCACCATGCCAATTTCATCAAAGTATCTTAAATGGAAAAGCTCACCATATTTGTGAATAGCTGGCCGTCTGAGCTCGTATTCACGAATTTACTGAGAACAGCCGAAGGATATTGATGCACGGCTCCTCTGAAGGAGCTAATGTCTGAAGATATTAGAGGTGTGAGCACCAGAGGCGCTTCAGAAGGTGGGTATTTGGCCTGGACTACTCGCAAGAGGCCCTTGAGGGTATCGCTGGGGACAACAATGCTGGTGACGCCACTGCCAACTTCAGGAAGCTGCTGCACAGATGACGGTAGTAGGAACGATAGCGGGGAAGCAGAGTTCCCAGAAGACAGTTGATCTCCAAATGAGAGAGATAATTGTGACGACAGAGAAGACGGGGTCGATGAGGATGGACAGGCAGGGAGGGTTGAAGGTAATGAAGCTTTGGTAATTGGCAAGGAGCAGCCTTCCAAGAGGCCTATGAAGAGACTGTGTAGGCACTCTATCCAAACGTCACTGAGATCGTCTTCGCCGCCAGCTGATGAAAGTAGAAATAAGAGCATGAGAGTTATGCAAAAATTAAACCTGCTACAACACAATTGAATCACAATCCATGACAAGTGCTCTAAACATCACCAGCATCATGGTCTGCAATGTCCTTCAAATTTCAACAGTAGCACAAGTTAAGTATACATCTAAGTAAGTTCCGTAAGACTTCAGGTCTGTAGATGCAAAAGTTGTGGATCTAGACCCTCTTGTCAGAAGGGTAGTCAGTCCCCCTGCATGCATTAACTAACCAAATGTCATTTTTGTGGACCCATAAATTGAAATAATGAGCCTATCCACTTTATCCCATGTAAGAGGATCTTCAAACACGACTCATACTCCTTCCTACTTAATACTTATGAGTATAGATGAAATCAACTTAGTAAATGCTCAAGTGAATCTTCGAACACAACTCTCAGTCATACCTTGTGGGCCAGAATAAGGAGAAAGGACGGCCGGTACACGGGCCAACACAAGCGAGCTCAGCTCAGTCCTGTGGTCAGGATTCGTGGCATCAGACAAGAGGCGCAGCAGAAGGCAGGCCTCCAATAGAGGGCTGAGTTTGATGGCAGAGCGCAGCAAGCAAGTGAATGGCACAAACGAGCACAGAGCTGAAGGCTGTAAATGACGTCCTCGAACTGCTGGGGCCTGTAACAGGTATTCATGATTAGTTAAGTGAATAGGATGAGTATTGTACAAGGCCACTGAGATTTGGACCGTTGTGAACCCATTTAAAAAATACAAGAGAACACAAAAACAAGATTTGTAAATTCATTCTATTTGTCATAATTAGCAATATTTTGCCGGTCACAATTTACAATATGCTAACAGTAATCTCACTTAGCTGGTAGGAGAGGACAGAAATAATATGGCAGTACTCAAATTTAGAGATGCAGAATAATAGACGTGACTAATTTGTTCAAGTTTTCATTTACGTCTTAAAAGAGTCAACAGTATTGTAAAACTTTTACTCGTTCAGGGACAGACAATTAGTCAACCAAGAAGTGCCTTAATTTGACCACTACAACCATTAACAAAAGTCTTTTTCCATCACAATCATGACAAAATATGCTCTCATGTTCACAGTCCTTAACAAGAGTGAATCTTCCTTCACAGTCATGACAAAATATGCTTTCATGTTCACAGTCCTTGACAAGAGTGAATCTTCCATCACAGTCATGACAAAATATGCTCTCCTGTTCACAGTCCCTTCACGAATGCCTCTTCCATCACAACCATGACAAAATATGCTCTCGTGTTCACAGTCCTTGACAAGAATGCCTCTTTGATCACAACCAACAACAATAGGGCTATTTTCTTCACCGTCCTTTGCAAAAATGCCTCTTTCGTCACTGCCATCAGAAGAAAAGCCCCTTCTATTTTTGCTCTACACAATCACCACCCATCAGAATCATCATCAAGAATCTCACTTTGTTTACGAGTGGTGATGCAAGGATTGCAAAGCTGAGACCAGCAACAAATTTAGCAGGAGGTAGGAGCTTGCTGAGCTTAGCAAGGAAAGTGGTCAGTAGGCCAGGGCTGCTCTCACTGCTTATCAAGCTCAAGCTTTCTTTCTCCTGAAAAAATATACAATTTAAAATAAAAAATATAAAGACATAGGCAACTCATTTGGAGGTAGACATACATTTCAGTTAATCTCAATCTATATTGCAATTGTGATAGGCCTTTAACAAGAAACTTTGATTTAAATTTAAATTATTAGATTAACTCAAATTAGGAGTCAATCATTTCAGCTCTGCCTATTATTCAGTAAATAACAGAGATCACAGGACAAGTTTTGATGCAATAAAAATGATCTATTTAATGCAGAGGAACAATGACCATTACCAAATGCCCAATCTTGCTTAAAAGTATATTGTAATTGAGGTTAATTGAAATTAAAGAAGTTATAAATTTTATTTTATTTTCATAATATACTAATTAAGGCCATTAAGAGTCCATGGAAAATTTAAAAATTTGTGAGCATGCAAATCAAATTAATATCTAAGAATCAAAAAGAAAATGTATAATACACTATAAATTACCAATCCTATAATATTCAGCCTGCTGAGCTACAACTCTTGCCATGGCTAAGGTACTCACTTTGGCAATTGATGAGGAAGCTCGTGACTCTACACTGTGAAGACTCCACTGGAACTGATGTAGGTATGTGTGGTAAATGTGTTGTTCAGATGCTGCTCCAAAATGTGTTGTGATCTGCAACAAAGATTGAGGTGAAAATTTTCAACATGCTAGTTTGGTACAATACCAATGTTATAGATACTGTTGTATATAAATGTAAATTATAATGTGAATTTATGTTACATGAAGAGAATTAAATAAACAATTGAAAACTGAGGATCTTCTACTGTAAGGTAATGAGTAGCACATATTGATATTCACTGCTAGCCTTCATGTACCATCTAATGGAGTAATAAGAGACTGGCAGGGTAAATCAAGAATGTCTTCCATAATGGTATAAAAATGTTACAGCAGCAAAACTAATTTTAAGATTGCAAAACTTAAATAGTGGTGTAAACGTTAACATTTTTTCTATCTATGTAGCATAATGGATGTTAAGAAATCATACATTTGATAGCTCTAAAAATCCTTGAAACAAATGTTGAAAAGTGATATTTTGAAGAAGTAGTTCTTCTAATGTCTGTAGTAAAAAAAATTTGTCATATTTGAAAATTTTGCTTGAAAGAAAGTTGCAGACAGGTGTCGGCTTCAAAACTTCATTGACAATTTTTGTACCTCAATCCAAAACAAAATGGCAGTCATTTGGGGTAATACGGGACAAGATGACCGCCACGGTAATACATGGTACATGATGGGGTAATACAGGACAACCCTAAACACATTTACTCTAGAAGGCTCCAGTGAACAAAAAAAATTGATTAACAACAAATAATTTTGATTACATTTACCTTGCTCAGCAAATAAAAATTCACTTAATGAAAAATTAATTCATCATTGGTCATCACAAATTGTGTATATAATGTCATAGATAGAATTGTGCACCAGGCAACATAGAAAGAAATTAACCTAAACTATGAATTTTTAAAAAAAATATGACTTCACTAAAATATTCCTTTTGGTTTTAGGTATGTTTTTATGATCTTTTTTGTTATAGTGAATTCACTTGACCCCAAATAAAATAGTGCAAAATTACAAGCCCAGTCCTGTAAGCTTACAGATACTCCAGAAGAAATGCCATATGGCTGCTGAGTGCTGAATGCTGATACAAAGCTTGCCGCACCCAAGGTCCTTGTCAATGCTCAATAGTATGTCCATGAATGTGGTAATATCACATCAATAATACGGTAATTTATGGATATGGTAATACCGTCAAACAGGGTAATAAGGGAAGGTTTTGAGCATTTTCCTTAATAACTTCTTACCATGAAACATTTGATAAATGAGTTTGGGCTCATTTTAAAGTTATTTGCAAGGGCTATTGTATGGCATCTCTGAAAAAAATTCCATATGCTATTCAGAAGATGCCCGATGCAAATAAAAGCCTCCTGAACCAACCCTGGGAATGGGGTAATAAGGGACACTTGAAATACAGCTCAATTTTAAAACATTTGAAGCATGTAGAATGAGCTCATCCATTACTAACAGTACTCTGAAGTCCTCCTCTTCCTTTGTAGTTTGTAGATGATATAAATGTAGAATAAATGACATTTTCTTCAATTTTTACTCATTTTCACTTTATTGATATGATATCACCTTATCCATACATTACCTTATTATTGATGTGATATTACCTAATCCATGGACATGCCATTGAGCATTGACAAGAACCTTGTCCACTGTGAGCTTCATATCAGCAGCCATGTAGCATTTCTTCTGTAGGTAAGCTTACAGGATGGCTTGGCTTGTAATTTTGCACCATTTTAATTGTCAAGTGAAATTTTTTTGATGAGCAAGGTAAATCTAATCAAAATTCTCTGTTGCTAATTGAATTTTTGTTAACTGGAGCCTATGCTAACCAAGGCTCTACTGTAAATGCATTTTTAGGAGTGTCTCTTATTACTGCATTGAGCGGAAATGGCTGCCATATTTTTCTGGAACGAGATACGCAAATTTTGTCAATCACATTTTTAAGCCAACACCTGTGTGCAACTTTTATGTGAGTGAAAATATTTTAATATGGTGAATATTTTTATTTATTATTATTTTTTGTTTTGCTACAGACCTTACAAGATGTACTTTTCCAAAACTTCACTTTTCACACTTTTTTCAAGGATTTTTTAGAGGTATTAAATGTAAAATTTCTTAACTTTCTTTATGCTACATAGATGAAAAAATGTTGAACTTTATGCCACTATTTTTTCTTTTGCAATATTTTAAATAGTTTAGCTGCTACAACATTTCTATGAAATGTTGGAGGACTCTGGGACTGTCCCTTATTACCTGGCCCATCCCTTATTACCCTGTTTGACAGTATATCAATTAAGTAAAAACAACAAGTATATATCACAGAAAATGCCATTTTTTATACATTTACATCATCTACAAAGGAAGAGGAGGACTTTGGAGTACTAATACTAATGGATAAGTACATCTAACTCGTCATGCCAGAGCCACAAAATTTCAGAAACAAGAAGGAATATTCCAATCCTGCTAGGCCTCAAAATATGATGCTGAAGAATTTTTCTAGTTCTTGATTGATAGTAGAATTTTTTAATCTTGCTTGGGAGAAATTTTCTATCAGTTCCCAATCTCCATAGGGCAAATGTATATTCCAACATCGTGGGTAATTCCGACACCTCTCTAGTTTTTCCTTTATATTAACACGTTAACCGCCACATGTACCACCGGTGGCACAAAACAAGCTGTCAATGAACGCCTTATGTACCACCGGTGGATCATTTACAAATTTATTTTCAAATTTGTTTTTCACTCATTTTTGATGGCTAGAAGGATATATTATCAAAACAAGTGTCGTAATTTATTTATTTATTAGCATAACTATTCAAAAAAATAATTTCATAAAAATTTCAAATGAAATATAACTAAAATTTTGTTCCGTAAATCAGACTCTTCCTCAAACATAAAATTCAATGGTAAAAAAGGAAATTCTTCAAATAAAACAAATAATCTGCATAAATTGGTGATCATAATTAGTGAAATTACCTTTTGGAAAATTATCCATGAACCAATAATAGCATTAGACATCAGACATTACATATGAGAGAGGGTTCGTTCAAAACAACCAGGGCATATATGTGGCTTATTTTCACATTGAAGGCAGACTGTTTTCACTCTTCTTGCATTTGCAGCTGCAACTGAGCAGCCTTCATTTTATGACAGCACTCATAAAACCCTCTACATCTTTTTTCTTACATTCCAACATTGACCCTCCAACTCAACAAGGTAATGAGAGTTTCTTTCCCCACCTATAACCGCTGGTTCTTGTCCTGCGTTCATTTTGTTCGAGTTTCCTGTTATGAGTGAGTGAGCAATAGATTCTAAGAATCCTTTCATTGACAAGGGTTTCTTGGTTTGAAATTTGTTATCGTAATGCTGAGCAATTAGGAGTAGGGAATGAAATAAACGTATGTAATAAGTCTTTGTATTATTATAAATAACAAACTAACAAATGAAAATCATAACTACAAACTACGTACAATATAAAAAATATTTTTCGAGAGCTCTAAACCATAACCACCAGTGGCCAAATAATTACGATATCCAATGTGTATTGTTTCTATTGTCGCAATATAAGCCTCCGGTGTACCATAATCTCTTGTACCACCGGTGGCGCACATGGCGCTGGAGAAAAATGAAGATTTAGTGAACATCCTTATGTACCACATGTGTCTCATGGTTTACTCTGTTCTAGAAGAAACTAGACAGAGAGTATAACACATACACACCTTCCCTTGCAGCTGTTCCTGACCAACTGAGACATTTTAGTGCCTAGAAGTCTTGGCGCTAGGGGGAAGTTCCAATATTGCATGCTGGCGGTTAACGTGTTAAGCTTTGTTTTAGTTCCATGCGTTCGTTGATGGTTGTAATAGTGACGTCATACATTTGCACGTCAAACTACTGCCAAAACACTATGTCTGGGCCATCTAGCGGGAAAATGTTGAGATCCAATGAGAGATGGTGCATGCCACCCAATGAGATCGAAAAATGTGTCAAAGTTGACAGTTGACCTTGCTCTACCAAATAATCATAAACTGTTTGTGTAGAAAGAATTTTATGGTTTGAGACTTTTAGGAATCCTTTAGGTATACTTGTATCTGCTGATTTCAAGTGGTAAATAAATTGATAGATGATTAAGTTGAGAAACAGGTTTAGACACATAAAAACTAATTCCAACACAACTTGAATTGGACACACACAGCTCGTTCCAAGCTGTGTGCAAAAATTAAAATTTTCTTAATTAAAAGCTTAATAACTGTTAATTAAAAGCCTAATTAAGTAGTGCTCAATATTCAAAAGTGTTCTAATTCAAAGCTGTGTTGTATTCCAATACAGCTCACACAGCAATAGGAATTCGAACATGTGGGTGTTGGAATTACGTATTAGTACAATTTGAAGCGCGTTTGGAATACCTCTCACCACGTGCCGAATATAGTCACACACAGTGTCGGAATATAGGGATTTGGTAGGTTTGCATTCTAAAGGCTTTCAAATAAGTACGGCAACATTTTGTGATGTTTCATCGTTTCTGGCGTGTAGTGCGGTGTTTTGAGAGTCACATAAAGCAAACAGAACTCTAGTAACGCATACGGTCATTTTTTTATAGTTTTTCATTTCTTGATGCGTCCTTAATGTGTCACAGTGTCGGAATATACCGCGTTTACCCTACATGCATTTTTTTACCATTCATGGGTGGCTTTTGTTCAATTTTTCAACACTGACTACTAAGTTACTTACTAATCAACTAGGTACCGTAAAATGGGGTTACTTTGACCGGCGGGGTAACTTTGACCACTTTTCATTTTTTTAACAAAAACCCCCAAAACTCAAAAACGATTCGACATAGAAAAATTTTGTCAATGGCCATCAAATGCCTAATACTGAGGCTATGTAACACAATAGAAAGATTTAAAAAGTTTGCATATCTAATAGGTTAAAAAATTTAAAATGTGACCCACAAAAAAGAGCTATTATTTAAAGCCTGTTGGAGTACCCCCTCCAATTTTTTTATTTTTTGGTAAAATAACTCCAGGTTTTGATGCATTGTAGTAGAACTCTTCTAGTTACATATGCAAAAGACAAATTTTAGGAAATTGTCATATTTTGCAAGTGGGGGGCGCCGCCCCCCAATGGGGTAACTTTGACCACCTAATGGCAGCCGTGATGGGGTAACATTGACTGGCTTGGAAATTAAGTTAAAATTACCATAGGTACAGTCAACTGTCAAATTTGACACATTTTTCGATGATCTCACCAGGTGGCATGCATTGTCTCTCTTTGGATCTCAATATTTTCCCACTAGATGGCCAAGACCTAATGTTTTTGCAGTTTTTCGACACGCAAATGTATGATGTCACCATTTCAACCATCAATGAACGCATGTAACTAAAACAAAGCTTAATATAAAGGAAAAACTAGAGAAGTGACGGAATTACCTACGATGTTGGAATATACCGCGTTTACCCTAACTTATCTAGTAAAAAAATGGCATCATTTTGAAAAAAAAGTGGTCAAAGTTACCCCATTTTATGGTAGGTACAATACATAAAATTTTGTCCTATGGATTTTTTTTTGGCAGTTCTTCAAATTGAGTATCCTATTTTTACTCATAGTCTCATACTTACGCCACTTTCTCAATAAACATTAGTATACATATCTATATATGATGCTTTATTAATACATAAATTTGGTTATTACTAATAGTATCAGTACAATTTAACAATTTGGTATATACCTACATAGTTTAGTACATACTACCTACATTATACATACCTACCACAGGCTGACAGGCACACATATGAAGTTTTCCCAAACCTAGACTAATACAGCATTCAGCAATGATCAATGGCACCACATTTAAAGAAAACTTGAATAATAAATATGGTAAAACTGAGGCATTTTTTTCTATTCTACAAGTGTATTTAGAAACGTCTGGTGAAACTTGAGTATCGGCAATATGAAACTAGGTTACGTTAGTTACGTTAGGTTAGGCCTATAAAATTAAAAGTCATAACGAAATTATGTAGTTCTTTATTGGAGTGAACCACACGAAAGTTCAGCATAAAATGAATCATTTTCTTAATAGAACATCAGAAAACACTTTTACGGCAATACGGCATAGCCACAACAAACTCACATCAACGATTTGCTGAAGATTGGAGTTGAGGTTAGCGGTGTTGAGGCTGGATATCAAGTTTACAGTACGAGACAACGCAGCTTCAAATGAGTCTAGGTTCATAGTGCCATTAATACGGCATCGAAAGCTTCAAAGATTCTTGAAGCTCTCTAATATGCATTCTAAATACTATTACTACACTTAAAACCCGTGATTTATTCGCAAAAGAACACATCAGGAACAATGATCATATGCTAACAGTAGGGCCGACGACGACGTCCATTATGCTGATGCAAACAAAACACTGCGACATATAAACAAAGCTTAATAAATTATTATAATAATGCTATTTCTAAAAAATATATACATAAAATTTGCATGCCAGAATTTTTCATGCGTACAGCTAATAATTTTATACTTGAAAAGTTGCTACAGGTACAGTAGTACTTTCAGAAGACTTTCTCCAACGGGCGCTGGACTCAACACATATTTCGCTGGTCACTGTTCCTATCATGGAAGTGTCGAGACTTGTTCGAGTAAAAAACATTCAATTCATACCATAAAAAAAGGTGTAAAGTTTTTCTTCATAAACGTCCATACTCAGGAACATAATATCAACTGAAATTGTAGTATCAAAAAAAATATAAACACGAGACTATTTAATAATGTATGCATGAACGCGAATCTCCGTATTACATAGGCCTATATCACTTACTCGAAACCGTGAAATAGAAACTCACCGCAAAAATTGAAATTCGTCTAATTAAACATGGCCACAAATGTGATAATATATGAAAAGATTAGTGCATTCAAAATTTTGTTCAAGTTAATCTGTATCTCTTTTTATGACAATGGGAAGAGTATAAGTTATTTAAAGTGGTAAACATGTCCGTAAAATCACCCACGTGTTTTAATGATAGGAAAATTCAAATTCAGCCTCACGTGCCGTGATTCGCTTTCGCTTGCTTTCCAAACTGAAATGCTCAAGTTTTGATCTATAAAATACACAAGTGTTGCGTTGTGTGCTGCTCACAGAAGAATAAGGCTCTACATTTTGGAAATAGACTACACATTTTATTTCACGTGTGCGGATATTATTAATTAAATGATGACAGAAGTTGTTCCTGTTAATGACAAAACCATGAATAAAGGTTTTAGTTCGAAAATGAGATGGATAGAGATAATTAAAAAACCCGAAAATAAGAATATGCTCATGAATTGAAGCCGCAAATTACTTTGAAAACACTCTCAATGTTTTGACAAATCCAGTCGTTTAAAGATTGAAGGCTGGAGTCCAATCTTTAATTGAACCGACTCGACACTTTTACAAACCAGCCTGCGCACAACGCACAACCTAACTTAACGCTCAACTCGCCCAGTCATAATTCTTTTAATACTGAACGGATTCAAATTGAGAATATAAGTAGGTACTATCAATGCGCTGTGATATGAAATATTACAGATTTTTACAATGATTTGTTTTTTATTAATATGGAAAAACTCAATGTTGGGGCCGCTCGCCCAGCATATTTTTTTAATAATGAATGAATCCAATTGAAATATGTAATCTAAGTAGGTATTACTAATGCGCTGTGATAGGAATTATTATTATAGATTTTTACATCGATTTGTTTTTCATTAATATGGAAAAACTCACGGTTGAGGCTGCTATCCTAGTCATACTTTTTCTAATATTGAACGGATATGCTTGAAATTTGAAACTTAAGGAGGTATGACCAATGTGCTGCGATTGGAATTACTGCAGAGTTTTACATTAACTATTTTTTTATTATTATAGAAAAACGAAATGTTGGAGCAACTCGTCTAGTCATAATTCTCTCAATACTGAACGGATCGCATTGCTTTTTAGGAATATAAGTACATGCTGTAAGAATTTACAGCAAGTACTTATGTTCCTAAAAACAAGGCGATCCGTTCAGTATTCACCCATGGGTAATACCTACTTACGTTTCAAATTTCAAGCATATTCGTTCAATATTAGAAAAAATATAACAGGGCGAGCAGCCTCAACGTTGAGTTTTTTCATATTAATAAAAAACAAATCGATGTAAAAATCTGTAATAATTCCTATCACAGCACCTTTGTAATACCTATTTAAATTACAAATTTCAATCGGATTCATTCTTTATTAAAATAATTATGACTGGGCGAGCAGCCCCAACATTGAGTTTTTCCATATAAATAAAAAACAAATCAAATAAAAATCTGTAACAATTCCAATCACAGCGCATTGGTAATACCTACTTATATTTCAAATTTGAATGAAATCCGTTCAGTATTGAAGGAGTTATGACTGGGCGAGTTGAGCGTTAAGTTAGGTTTTGCGTTCGAGTGCGAATTAAGGCGGGTTCGTAAAAGTGTCGAATCGGTCAAAGAGGGCTCCAGCTCTCGCGAGTCGGTTGGCGTCGGGGCATCGCATGATGACGCTGGTGCATTCTTCCAGCACCGTTCGGGTGATGGTCTCGTTGTGGGCCTCCATCAGGTGGTCCCTTGGTCCTCCAGACTGAAGGTGGCACGTGAGACGCCGGCTTTATGTCGTACCTAGTTGTGAGCCCGATGTAATCTGAATAAGTGAGAAGTCTACAACATTCTTGATTACTGGATAATTTACAGACTATATCGGTCTCCAGGAAAACTGTCGTTTTTTTTTTTTTTTTGCAGGGGTTATTGTCCATTACAAGATTCTGTCTTTCCTTGTTTGTGAGAATTGGATGCCATATTAAAACCGTATATTCCAAAGCAATTCTTTTTAGCACATTTTCTCATTTATGGAAAAAAGGCGCTATTGTGCTCGTCATGTCCATCCGTGACTTCACGGACGGATGGACGGACGAGAAAATGCGCTCTCTGTCACTCACAGCAGTGACTACTGATCTCATTTTTGATAACTAGAGGCGTTTTTTGGAGATCCTCGGCGCAAGCGCCCATCTGGACTTCAACCTTCTTCACCGACGTCCCAACTGAAGATACATACGAAGTCATTGCCAGCATGTATCTTCTCATTATATACTCCTCCGATAACAAAGAAAATTTTCATGTATCTCCTTCGATTCTTCACTTCTGAATCAGCTTTCAAGCTACCGACAACAATATTTACCGACAAACCAGCGGCGTAGCAATGGGCAGTCCCCCTTGGTCCTACTTTCGCTTAGTGCTACATTGCAAAATTGAAAATCTAGCACTTTTAGGTGAACAAATGAAGCCAGGATTAAACCGCAGGTATTTCGACTATATCTTCGTTGATGTTTGAAGTGAAGAACAACAGAAAAAACTACGTAAGGTATTGAAATAAATTCTGACTTGAAATTTATTTACGAAATCTGACAAATCATACCTTACATATTTTAGATATATTCGTCCTAGTTCATATTAAAATGATTCGTTCGTCACCTGAGTATGTCGGAAGCCAACAGATGAGAGAGTATTGAATGCCGCTAGCGAATGTCCAGATCGCTACAAAAGCAGCACAATGCGTGCCCTCATCTGCAAGGGACTTAACCCTCTACCGCCTGACATGAGTAACAGGCGCAATATTGCCACACAAGCCTACCCAAAAAAGAATACATTACTATTTGCCAGTGAGCGCAAAATGGCTTGCATTGATGGTTGCCGCCACGTTTAGAGAGATGGTTGCCGCCAACAGAGAACTTTAAAATGTTCTCTGTTGCGTACAAACGTCCTCAGGCTGCTACACTCAATAGTTGACGTATAATTTAACACGTTGAGTACGTATTGGTACATATGCGTACCACGAAATGTATTTCTCCAGGAGGTAGTGGTACATAATTCAGGTTGCCTAAAATCGGCAAAATCTGAGAACAAAAAAGGCCAAAAAGGCCGATAATTCAATGTAAACTAGTTTATTTGTAGGTTCCGCTATAAAAATTCCATTTATTTTCTTTTCGCAGCATTTAAAATTTAATTAGGAAGTACCCCTATCATAAATTTTAGCCGGCCAACGCAATTAAAAAAACCTTGAACGAAGGAACTTTGCCGTCCGACTGGAAAGAAGCTCAAGTAACACCATTGTTCAAAAAAGGTGACAAAAGCAGCAACGGCAACTATCGCCCTGTCAGTCTGACAAGTGTTGTTTGTAAGCTGATGGAATCTGTTGTGAGGGATAGGATTATCGATCACTTGACTGCTCACCATCTCATATCAGATTGTCAACATGGTTTTATTGCCGGCAGATCCTGCACCACAAGAAATTTAATAGAGAATGTTCAAAGACGTGCAACAAGGATAATTCCAGGCTTGAAGGGCAAGTCCTATGAAGAAAGATTGAAGATTATGAAGCTTCCAAGCCTCAGTTATCGACGTCTGCGTGGGGACCTCATTGAAGTATACAAGTATACTCATGGTCTATACAAGGTCCCCGAAGGGTTACTAGAATTTGAAACAAGAATCAACACCAAGGGCCACGACTATAAACTAAAAAAACTGCACAGCAACTTCTCCACGCGACAACATTTCTTCTCGCTTCGAATCACTGATATGTGGAACAGTCTCCCCGATTACATCGTTGGCGCTCCGAGTATGAACGCGTTCAAGAACAGACTAGATAAAGCTATGGAAAAATATATGTTCAGACTTGAAAGTCCTAGCACCATATCGAACCCGGTGGAAGTCGAGTAGCTATTTCAAACTATCGTCAGTCCTGAAAAGATCCGGTCAAATAACACGAGTTTAGATCTATGAACAAGGCACGAAAAGTAAAAGAATCGGCGACAGTCCACATGAGGCCCACACTCCAGCGCCGACATCATTATGTTTTGTTATGTTAGAATCAAATGATCGACGATTATATAGCAGATGAACGGATACTTCAATCTATTGTTCAAAACAGCACTGTTAACGCAACTAATAATAAAATCAAACTACTGATATATTATAAAAGCAAGAAGATGCAAAATCTTGTAAGGAACAATAACCCCTGCAAAGAAATGGCAGTTTTCCAAAGGACCGATATAGTCTGCAAATTAAGAGATATAGTCTGCAATTAATTAAGAATGTTGTAGACTTGACCCTAATATGGATTACATCAGCAGGCTATATACGACATTAAGCCGACGTCTCACGTACCACCTTCAGTCTGGTGGACCAAGGAACCACCTGCTGGAAGCCCAAAACGAGACCATCACCCGTACGGTGCTGGAGGAAAGTACCAGCGTCGTCATGCGATGTTCCGACGCCAACCGACCAACAATGGCTGGAGCCCTCTTTGTTAAAGATTGGACTCCAGCCATCAATCTTTAAACTACTGGATTTATCAAAA